GCATCTCTGACTAATGAAGGGCATAGAAGTATTTAAAAAAACTGCAGCATAAACTTTAACCTGGAATACCGATACCAATGCCAATTAACACTCACACTGGGGGTATCACATATTTTGGTTCCTCCCACTTTGTTCAGATGAGCTAAAAATTAAGCAACATGCATCAGCAGATTGATAATACGTACATTTCAAACATGCTAACTTAATAAAAATGTCAACAAGAGATGGTTTTGAAAATTTGGGCAGTAGTATCAGTCTGTAATTCATATGAATCACAGTTGGGCTTTTTCCTAGGCCATAGTCCAAGATTTGGTTTCATTATTTAATTAAAGTAGACAATCATATATTTTTATGTCCCCATACACGATGTTTCGGGGGGTATATGGTTTTCGTCGTGTCCGTCTGTCTGTTTGTCTGCAAAAACTTAAACCTTGTCCATAACTTTTGACTGGGTGGGGCTTTGGTTTCCTATTTCACAGGTGTATTCCTTGTAACAAGACCTTTCTTTCTTTCGGTGTCACCAAATTTGACCTCTTAACCTTGACCTTGGAGTTTGACACACTTTTACACCAAAATTCCAAACTTTTACTTTGGCCATAACTTTTAAACTATGGAGTTGGAGCAAGGCTTTTCATACTTCCCATATGTATTCTTTGTGACAAGACCTTCCACTGAATTCCAACAAATTTGACCATTTGACCTGGAGATTGACCTACTTTAAAAAAAAAACTTTAACCTTGGTCATAACTTTTGAACGGTAAGTGCTAGGGCTTTAATAGCTGCAGATCTGTAGCTCTCCGAAAAAATATATTGATAGACCGGAGAGCTACAGTGCCACCCATTGAAAAAACTGTATATTTATTGCGCACAAAAAAGTGCGCTCGCTTCTCGATTAATTCCTCGAAATTCTTACCTCAATTGCAAAAAAGGGAAGATTTCAAAAAATCCCTTTCTCCTCTATCAAGTATTCTCGAAGGTGACATCTGAACGAAGCATATTGGACCGAATTATCTTTGAAACCAAAATGCCTGTATATATACGCGAAATGTTCGATGATTACAAAATAAGAGTCAGGAGGACTATTAACAACAATTATGAGGAATGTTTGGTTGTGAGAACAGTGAAAGAATATGTAATGAACATACGGTTAGTAATATTTTGAGATTACAGTTTAATTACATGGAGAAATAAATGTAGCGCACTTTTTTGTGAAATGTTACTTCACAAGCTACTATCATTATATTGTCTGAGAGCAAATTCAGATTTATACTTCACATATTTATTCTTTGTGACATGACCTTCCATTGGATACCAACAAATTTGACCCTTAGACCTTGGAGATTGACCTGCTTTTAAAAAAACATTAACCTTGGCATAACTTTTGAATGGTTAGGATTAGGGATTTTTTAATTTCAAAAATCGCAAACTAATTGAATAACTTCCATACAAGAAACAATATTTGGTTTTAATGTTGATTATATTTTAAATCAATCCTCCCCAATTTTCATGCACATCAACCACCGTTCTGCGCATGCGAAATCACGTGATATTAACTGTAGCGTTCTGTCACAAAAGTTAAAAGATTTTTCCGAGTTTTGTATTTCTTTCCATGTGAGTTAATTTTTATGACAAGAACAGTTAATTTGTCAGAAATAAAGCAACAGAATGGGTAATTATCACACTTTCCAAAAATAAGCATGGGCCATTAAAACACAAATCTTCTGTCAGGAGAGACCTTTATTCAAGGTGGATAGAGAATGGGTGCATTCTTTTTATCATATCTAATATGTTTAAAATCTAAAATAAACGATATCTTAGGTATTTAATACTCATATCATTGTTCAAATATTCAACTATTTTTCAAAGTGCTAATTGGAGGTCTTTGATAGCAAATTGCTTAATTAAAAATACATATCTTTTCAAACTTGCTTTCACTAGGCAAGATGACAAGTATCATTTTTAACCAGCAGCCTTCCTTCACTAAAACGATTAATCCAATCATTAATTGAACTTAAAGGAACTCATTTATCTCAATAAACTATGTACAAATTATTACTTGATACTGTAGAGGGATTTCTAAGATATTACAATAAATTGGAACAGCACTGAGACAACCATTTTTTCACAAGTGACCTATATATGACGTCATTATCACATTGTGACGTCACAAACAAGGAGAGAAACTTTATTCAGCATATGCTATTTATAGACCCTGTGTATGGCTATGTGTGTACCGAATTTCATTCTAATCTGAATTGTGGTTTTGTAGATATAGAGATAGTTTGCGAACTTTTTGATCACCCCTCGTACGTAATCCTTGAGACAAGACCTTACAATGAATACCAACACCTTTGACCCTGACCTTGGAGATTGATCTACTTTTTAAAAAACTTTGACCTTGGCAATAACTGTTTTAATAGATTAAACTTCACCTTGACCTCGGAGTTTGACCTATTTAAAAAACATTAACCTGGCCATAAATTTTGAACAGGTGGTGCTAGGGCCTTACTTTGGGTATCAACAAGTTTGATTTGCATTTGAGAAAATTTAACCTTCAGTATGTTGCCATATGGGGGCATCAGTGTTTCACAAACACATCTTGTTTCATATTTAAATTTTAATTCACTAATTATTTTATCAATTATGATTTTTACTTTTTCCCAGGTTTATATGTTTAATTAAGAAAGCATTGTTTGAAGCATAACAAAAAATCTTTCATTTTAATTTCCATTCTTTCTAAAGCTTGTATTTAGCAGCCCTGCAACAATAAAGAAAGACAATTCAAGCAAAATTGCAGAATAGAACAGAGAATTGTTTGACTCGGCAATACAATATTACCTTTAACTATAACATGTAAATGTACATTTTTCTGTAAGTGCCTGGCATGCTAGGATCTATGTTTGATTTACTTGGAGGAATAAATTAACCAAGTTGCTGTAAAATACATGTAATTGCTAAAAAAAATCTCACCATTAATTAAAACAGGATCAAGAGAATCAGATCTTAACTCAACTGAAAACCCTTCCATTAGATCAATATCCATTAATTCATTACATTGATACCATCTATCTTGATTTCAGCTTACTCAAGAATGTAGAATGAAATGTTACTTCACAAGCTACTTCAACTGTCTGAGAAAAATTCAGATTTTTCTTAGCAGTACCAGTGATATACAATATACATGTTGATAATAAACAAAATTTTAGCATTTATAATTTACATTTATTTTCATTTCAAAAAAGCTTTGTTTCTAACAACTGTGCATGTACATTGTGAATAACTTAATTCATCTGAAATGAGGAATTAACTGAACAGAGCATATTACATATCAGTAAAAAAAATGTCATATTATGCTACTTTTCAAAACATTTGCACCATAATCTATTCACACACCAAAAAACACATTCATAAAAAACTTTTTAAACCAATTAGATACTACAGTATGTTGCTCTAATTTGTATAAATATTTTTATAAAAAAGGATAAATAACATCATGGTGCTGCAAACCAACATGAACATATAAATTTTTTAAAAAATACTAGAAAACTGACAAAGTCTGAGAAGGGCCCCCTAACAGGAGTGGGTTAGTGGTGGGGTTGTCCCTAAACACCCCACCTGGGAATCCTCGGCTGTCTCCACTACGCTCCATTCAAACCTAAGATGTGATTGGTGGAGGAATACACATCAGGTCGATACATTTCTCTGCCAGAAACAGCCTTGTCACTCATTTCATATTTTGCTCTGTATTAAGTTCATGGAAAATTTTTTTAAACTTGTCTAATTCTTCTTTGTATATTGCTTTTAATTACAATCATATATCAGTAGTATTTTAAAGCAAGAACATGTTGGGCATGCCACAAAGTAACTCAGATTTCAAAAGTATAACATTTGAATGAAATTCAAATAAGATCACATGACTGAATCAGCAAGATGGTAGAACACCTTTGACGTCCAAGGTTAATGTGCAAGGTACGAGCCACCTGAGGAGCTCTGAATGCTAACACCCCAGTAATTTCCCTGCCATTAATAAAGTAATCCCCCAGTTATTCTAGTTTTTCCTAAAACCCTTGTTGGAGGGTCGGGAGGAAATCCAGACCCCCCCCAACAAACACATGCATGCTACTTTTGATCTCCCCTGCAATTACAATTCTTTGAAGACATCCCTGGTAAGGGCTTGTGAAGGGAATGTGATAACTGTGCTTAGTACAGCAATGCTTAGAACAAAATATTGCATATCACAGGAATACAGAACACTCCAAAGGGTACCGGTTTCTTCTTCTAACAGTAAAGTATTCCTCCTAAAATTTGTAATGTGACATTGAAAACTTTTAGGTGTATAATTACAAAGAAGTGTCAATCAATTAACATTCAGACTTACATATACAGACAAAAATATACAAGTATATTGCTTTGACACCTTAATCCACAAGAAAGTCGTTGTCTGCTTAATACATGTATAGTAAAAGCTTCTGTACAAAATATGAAAATATTACACCGAGCACTATTTGAGTTATTGCATCACATGAAAAGAGTTGATAAAATCATTCAAACATTTACACATACAGACAGACAAGGCAATATGGTCCCAGATGTCTTTTACAGTAGAATAACAATATTTCAGAACATTTGAGAACTGAGTTACTGAGTAACAACAAAATATTAATGGACATATGGACAGACAAATGGAGAATGTGACAGTTATATTTGTGGTCATCAATCAATACAATAATATAGCCTGACCATATGTACCTCCCTAGGAAATGATTTTTCAGGGCATCTACATGTACAATGTACGTTCAATATATGTATCAATGTTTTTGCATTATATGTCTTATTATAAATAATATCGTTAATATCTGTCATACATAATCACACAAAATTTTTTTTTACAATTAAGCCTAAATCATTTTTTACTTGAATTAAAATAAATAGGTATAAAAACATTGTTTAATAGAATAAATATGATGAACAACACATGCAAGTTCGAAAATAAAAGATGCAAAGACAATTCACAGAGCAAAGGTATCAGTCTGTCTTTAACTTCTGTTTCCTTTTTGATTTGATCCATTTGTATGCTTTAAATAGGGATCCAAGAATTGGTAGACCAATCGGCAGGAAGAGAGGTATGTATATGGCAAACCTGTTAATAGAATTTCAGTTTATCATGATTGATTGCAAAGAAAAATGTCTTTCACAGTCTAACACATGGAAAAGAGCTGTAATTTCTCTGTATGAATGACTTACTTTTGATCTTCTGGGAAGTATAATAACTCTAACAGGGACGGATCAAAGAATGCTTTCTCTGAAAGCAAAATAATATGTTTGGTATAAATGTCTATATACAGTAAAATATACTTAAAGTTAACTTGTTTCTAATGAATTCACACTTAGAATGAAGTATTTTTTATTCCCAGTGGTTTTAAAATATATTGTTAACATTTACAGTTTACAATTAACAAAGCAAAATTCTGTATGACATAAAATGGTTTTTCAATAAACAGAAAAGTTAAAGAAGTCAATAGATTGTATATAAAAATATCTCTGAACTCTCTTTCTGCGGCACTACATGTAATTCATATATCAAAATAAAGTAGAACTCGGTGCTTTCATTTTCTATAATAAAATTTTGAACTTTTTAAGAAAGCATTAAAAATCCACATATTGCAAAACAGGTATTAAAAAATTTTTAATGTTTTGAAATTTGCAGAAAAAATGTGTATTTGACAACCTTCAAGTAACCAAAGAATTAAAATATAAAAAGTCTATCTTTGATGTAGCCCCCACGATCAAAAAATTGATGTTTTTTGATCTTGTGCCTCTTTAATGCCATTCACTGCTTTCCATTATATATTAGACACAGTGTGTTTGGAATCAGAGGTTGTGCTGTTTTATTGTATGAAATATACAAAAAATGCTTCATTTTTAGATCATATATTTCAAAGGAATTTACTGCAAATTATGAGGAATATGACGCATTTTATGACGTCTTATTGACACATTGACTAGGATTATATAGGAAAATGAAATTTTTAACACTTTAAAGCAAATTTACAAATAGAAATGTTTTCCAAACCAATACTCCAAGTGATAAATACTGCAATATATTGCAACTTAAACTGAGCGGTTCAAAATGCCAAAAATTTTCAGAATTTCTGTTTTTATAGGGCCAAATAAGGCCATATGAAAACATTATAAAAATAATGGCTCAAATTTCTCTTTAAACAAAGCAATGTTTATTACTTTTTCCCTAATAATATTTTTCTACCCCTTTCTTTAAGAATGTAGCCCAAAAACACACTGATGAGGCCAGAGCCTTGTTAAAAATCAGTTAAAAAACTATATCAAATTGGCTCTATGCCTGTAATTTCTAATTTTGTTTAATTTTAATAATTAAGTGAAAAAAGTTCTTTAAAACAGTAAATACACTCATTTTTAATGATGCACACATTCAACTGCATTCTCCACCTACAGAATGCAACACATGTAGACAGTGTGTTACAAAATCAGTTAAAAAATCAGTTATATCAAATTGTAATTACATTTCTAGAAACACATAATCAAGTTTAATTTTAATAATTAAGTGAAAAAACACATAATCAAGGTTCTTGAGAAACACTTAATGAAGCACTTCTTTTTGACCAGAGAAATTGCAATAACCAAGTCAAAGGGAGGGAGGAGGAAGGAGTATTTTACTACATGAAAAGAAAAAAATGAATCTTAATATGACAGAAAGCAATATTTGTTTTGCATCCCTTAACTGTATGTTTTGCAACATCTAGATGCCTAGAAATAAAAATAAGGACAAACTAACCTGCTGTCCGATATCATCCTGTATAACTATATTACTGATGCCCTCTAACAAAGCTGTCAGGGACTGAAGAGTGGATATCGAGGTAGCCAGATTCTCTGTACATTTCTTTCTTAACCAGTTGTCCAGTTCCTAAAACGTAAGTTAAAATTAATTTTTTCTACATTTCAAAATGAAAATTCCGCTCTCAAATAATGACAAATACACATTCATTAGCTACAAATATGTCCATTGAAGGCCCTGCTGAGGGTTCATTGGTAAATCAAAAATGAAAATTTGACCACGTATCAGTGTATGATGTTTGATGATAATATCTTGAAAAGTTTCTTTAAAAATAAGCTAAAAACAAAGTAGCAGTCTGAAGGATAGACATGACAAACAGTATATACTCTAGCCATATTCAAGTTGGGGCAAAAAAAAAATCAGTTCACACCATCATGAGATTTCAAAAAAAATTAATAAAACATTCATAAAAGCAAATCTTGTACTTACCCATTCTCTTATGACAAGATTTTCTACTTCTCTGACCTTTACATCCTTTACTTCCTACAAAAATTCCCCAGTAGATGTCATTCAATTTAAACACATAAACATCATACATGTAACTGATATAGTAGTACAGAACTATAATATTTCAAAATTACTTTAGCCAACAGGAATAATGAGTAAAAATCTATGCAACATATGACAGTTAAAATATTATTTATTTGTGCTTTGAATAAATACATTTATTCTAAATTCACATGAATTGGCACACTCAAAATTTAGCACTGCCTTTCTCATCAAATGATTCATATAATCATTAATTAGCCAACCTTCTACATGTGTATGCATGAATGTTTTTATCATACATGTATACCTAAGATATACAGTAAAACTTGGTTATAACAAAGTCACCAGGACCTGTGAAATTACTTTGCTATATCCAAAATTTGTTATATCTGTATAAGGAATTCGTTAAATCAATATAGCTGGGGATCCAAGATAACTTCACTACATCCATGAATTCGCAATATCTGTGTATGTACTAAGCGAGTTTTACTGTATATTTTGAAATGGCAGAAAATTTTATGCAGCATAAAAGGTGCTATTAAAAATATGATTACCGCTAAATTTAGTATGTTAACAGCAAGGTATGCACATTTATTTTGTCAACAAACATGGTAAATATATGTATACAAAAAATACCTGAACACTAAAATCCATGAGAAGCCGTAGTTGTGTCAGGAAAACTTCCATCACCGTCTTCATGTCCACTTCAGCATGAACAGGGAGGGAGGAATTAGGAGGGGGAGAAGGGAGGTTCAGAATCACTATCCCTCCCCACTGGGGGCTCAGAAACGAGTTGGTCTTCACAGGTTTACCTGAATTAGCCAAGTAATAAACCAGTACATCAATTCACATAATCTTTCATGCTTGAAGCATTTACAAATTGTTTCAATGACTGAATTTTAAAAACAATACACTTCAGTAAAAAAAATAAATGAACTAAATTTTAACAAGAGGCCCAGGGGCCACAGCGCTCACCTGAGCACATCGGGCTTGAATTTACTCCCCCCCCCCCTTCCAGGCGTTCATCATTTGAACAAACTAGAATCTACACTACCTGAGGATGATTCATACAAATACCTGGGCGGGTATCACTAATCATAGCTCTGAAGTACTTGAAAAGAAGATTTTAAAAGGTTTCCCTATATATCCCTATGTAAAACTTGGGTCGGCCAATTTGGCCCCTTCCTTGCCCCGGGGATCAGGATTTGAACAAACTTGAATCTACACTACCTGAGGATGATTCCACATGAGTTTCATCTTTCCTGGCCCAGTGGTTCTGGAGTAGAAGATTTTTAAAGATTTTTCCTATATATTCCTATGTAAAACTTGGGTCGGCCATTTTGGCCCCATCCTTGCCCCGGGGGTCATGATTTGAACAAACTTGAATCTACACTACCTGAGGATGATTCCACCTGAGTTTCATCTTTCCTGGCCCAGTGGTTCTGGAGTAGAAGATTTTTAAAGATTTTTCTTATATATTCCTATGAAAACCTTGGGTCGGCCATTTTGGCCCACCCTTGCCCCAGGGGTCATGATTTGAACAAACTTGAATCAACATTACCTGAAGATGATTCCACATGAGTTTCATCTTTCCTGTCCTAGTGGTTCTTGAGAAGAAGATTTTTAAAGATTTTTCTTATATATTCCTATGTAAAACTTGGGTCGGCCATTTTGGCCCCATCCTTGCCCCGGGGGTCATGATTTGAACAAACTTGAATCTACACTACCTGAAGATGCTTCCAAATGAGTTTCATCTTTCCTGGCCCAGCGGTTCATGGTAAATATAGATTTTTTAAAAATGCCATTAATTTTTAACAAATTCATGATTATCTCCCCTTGGAAAAGGGCGTCAGCATGAACAGGGAGGGAGGAATTAGGAGGGGGAGAGGGGAGGCCCTTCATTTGAACAAATTTGAATTCCCTTCACCTAAGGATACTTTGTGCCAAGTTTGGTTGAAATTGGCCCAGTGGTTCTTGAGAAGAAGTCGAAAATGTGAAAAGTTTACAACGACAACGACTACGACGACGACGACAACGACAACAACGATAGACAACGGACAAATTTTGATCAGAAAAGCTCACTTGAGTCTACGGCTCAGGTGAGCTAAAAACAACACATGTATGTAATACAGGGGAAAAATTGTCCAGAGATTTTAAATTGGAGAATAAAATGCTTTTGGAAAGATAATATGAATATTTTGAATTCAAAGTTCATTATAAATGTACACTTGCTACACAAAACATACCATTTTTGTCAACAATGTGAAGGGGGCTTTGGTCTCTACTTGGAATGTAAACAATGAAATTCAACATGGGATTATTGGAGGCATGGGATCCTGAAAAAAGACGTCATTAAATCAGGTCTTACAAAGTGCTGAATAAATATTTTTAAATGCAAAAAAACTTCAAATTTTGAAGAAGAAATACAGAAAACAAATGTACCAAGAAAATGACTTTTCAACTGGCACTTATCAGTAAATATCAATATTCTTAGTAGTTAATAAAAGTATCAGATGTTTTGGTTATTTTTACTGATTTCATAACTTTGCATTTAAAAAAATATTGATGTTTGTGCCTCTATCATAATGTACATGTACAAATTTATAATTATGTAGCTATGTGCACTTTCAATAAAAAAAAATGTTAAAAGTTGATTTTTTATGGAAAAAAGATAATTGAGGTTTTATCTATAAAATGAATGTAGCATTTAATACAGTTAATTCTCGATAAACCGCCACCTTTTGTAATTTAGAAATCATGGCGGTATAACGAATTTGGCGGTGAATTGAATTTCCCATCTTTTAGAAAATAAGAAGTAGAGTTATCGTTCTTAGAAATACCATTTAGCGTTTCTATTCTTATTATTACATGTACATGTATATAAAAACATATTTCTGAATGAAAATACTTCAAGTAATTTTTTTAATGTACAATTTTGCTAAAACAAAATGTGCAGTTATGAAATAAAGACAAATATTTGTATATGCATGTAAACCTGCATGTTCGATACTGAAAAAAAAAACATACTGGGTCGATCGTCGTGATATATTTCCGATAATAAGTAAAATAAATCCTTGAAAATGTTCATTGTTTATGATATCATTGTTGAATATCCCAGATTTATAGCGTATAATTATTTTTTCCAGCAAACTTTGCACTGTTTAAAGCAGAGATCATCAAAATAATATCGTTATACTTTAACAACGAATAAAAGCCATGATTTTTTAAATGATTATATTAAACAGAAAAAAAATTATTATAACAGTTCATGTTAAAATTATATTTATTTATTTGTTGTTTAATTACTTAAATGTACCTTTTCTGCGTTTGCATGCTTTACAACTTTATTAAAATACCCGCGCTGACCACATGCACCTGTTATATAACAATTGACACTGAAAAATGATTGTTTGTTGTGAAAACAGTGTGGCGGATATATGCGAATTTGGCGTTATAAAGATATTTTTATATAGCAGGAAAAACGTTCTTGGGAAATCATGGCGGTATTGCGAAAATGGCGATGAATCGAATGGCGATAATTCGAGAATTGACTGTAATTAACCAAGAAAAAAATGACTGTTCTCTGTCCATCTCAATTTTCCCTTGGATAACTCTTATTAGAATCATCCCATATCACATTAACATGATGTCCTTTACACAGATATCTTTTTTCTGACCTAACTTGGCCTCCAGTGGATTAATTGTGTGGGGTAAATCTTTCTCCTCATAGTAGTAACCAGAGTCTTCACTGCCCTTCTTGGGTTTCCTTCTTAATCCAGTGAAAAATATCATCTGCAGAATATTAATATGACAGATTTTACTTTTATTGTGAAGATTGAAATTCTACAGTTAGCCTACATTTTCAAAATGGATAATGTTATAAATAAAACTGTATTTTTTGAAAAAAATATTGGAAGGAAAAAAATTAAATACACCATCAATTTAAATGTATATACACATCATCAATTTTTAAAAATGTATATACTGTTACTTTAACCACTTTATTAAAATAGCCTACATGATTATATACATGTAACTTACTTGTGATTTGGTGTCCAGGCTAATATATTCAGACAGTTGATTGGCTAAAGGATTCAAGTAAGCTGTAACATTAGAAATGTCGAACTTCATTTTAAAATTTTGTGCAAGGCAAAATATGATTTAGCTGCACATTTGTCATACAACTTCTAAAACAAACAACTGAATGACTAATATCAGTGGCAGATCAAGGAATCTTGAACGGGTGGGGTGGGGGTGGGGGTGGGGGGTTCTGGGTCAGGGTAGGGGCCCACAATCACACCAAAAAATAAATTGTTTTATCCCATGTTTACCCCTTTATCGCATGGATAAATCTCACAGAATGTTTTTTTCAAATCCCACAGTTAAGTGCAGTTATGAAGTCACAATGGTTTTTGCAGATTCAAGTAATTTACATGAAAGTATAATATAGTAAAATAAAGTGGAGTCCAATATAAAAACATTGTGAAACATTGTTTGTTAAGTATAAAACATATGATCAAAAAGAATCTCCCATGATTTGTAGCTGGATATGATTTTTATCCAACTCGCCAAGGCTCTGGGATAAAAAAACACACAACTTGTTGGATAAAAATCATATTCAACTACAAATCATGGAAGATCCTATATTCATTAAATATGTGTATTTGGGCATAAAAGGGGTACTCCCTCCCCCCCCCCCAAATCTGCCGGTGTATCTAGATATGATTTGTAATTCAAACAATAACCATGCAGTTCCTTACCTGCTATAGCCTCCTTGATTGACCAATCAACATTCAGGATATCAGGTTGTGGGTTCACCAAAGTGAATAAAAGGTCGTATCCTTGATGATAGTGAAGAGATCTCATGCTTTCTTTATCCTGTCAAAAAATTTTACATATACATTTTAGCTGTATATAATTATATTGTATATACAGTTTTCAATTTTTAACTACTGAGTACCGAAGCTTTGGATTTTCTCTTTATTATAAACTTCAGTGCTACAAAATATAGTTGGAATAGTTTCAGGATCCATGAACAAACATCAATTTATGTTGAATAGAAACACACAAAAACTGTAAGTTCTTGTCTTCTCCATCTACTGGCTTAAGGAAGTTCATATATGCTTTGATCAGAACTTGAAACCACTTAAACAATATGCTTTGCTCAAGGAAGAGCTATTGCAATATTTATTCAATTTTTCAATTCATATATCAATCAATTTTGATCACATTCTAAGTATATATGAGCAGGTCATTATCCACTAATAGATTATCCATTACACAGATTAGTTATATAGTTTTAAATTTTTTTTGAGCAATTTATGATTAAATAATTAGAGTGCAAAGTATATTTCGTAATATTTTAAACATCCTACTCTCCTCATACACATCTACTTTGAGGCATAACAAGGAAAAAAAAATTACCGGTAGGTGAGAGAGCCAATTTATAGTCACATTTTCTGCTAAAAAATTTCAGAAAACGGCAAGCAATGAAAGTGCAATGACCTGCATAAAGCATGGCGATGTGTTGGATATGTTCTGTGAAGACTGTGAGTTGGAAATATGTCTAATTTGTGGTCAGCAAGATCATGCCGCCCATAATTGGAACAGAGCAGTTAAAGTTTTGAACAGTGTAAAGTCTAAAATCAGAGACCACTGCGATATTTTATTTCAGATCCAAATTCCCCAAATGAAGGCTCAAGTTCATGAAATCAATACCATGAAAGCTGAAAACGAGAGGTTTATCGACACCCAAACAAGTAATATTCTTATGCAAACCACTGTGCTGGAAGAATGTTTGAGCAACATCTCATGTCAACAAATTAAATTCTGCAGAGAGGTTAAGGACAAGATTGATGCAAAACTGAACTTAAAAGAAAAAGAAATATGTAATTACATTTCACATGTGGAGTCCATTGTTGAGAAAATGGAAAAGAGCAAGATAACAGATATTTCAAAATTGCTGCATATGAAAAAAGAAGTGTCGCAAATGCCTGAACCTTTGAAATTCTCGGATAAAGATGTGACTTTACAGAATATTGAGTTTAAGGAAGTAACCCCTGGGGAAAATATCTTACGATCCATGCTTGGTGAACTAACTCTGACTTACAGAAACATCAAACTTACTCAAATGTTTTCATCAAAGAAGGGAGAAAAAAACATCAAGTATATTTCTCCTGTGACTGAATCTATAGCATGGTACCGGGAATTCAAATCTGTGGACAACATTCTACTTAATATCAGGAAAGGAAAATCTGAAACTGGCTACAGTTTTGGAAATTCTACTCCACTTCCGGAAAACCTAATTTCCTTAAAAAATGGAGAACTTGTATACACAAGCCATGTAGGGCAATGTGTGATGAAAATGTCTGCTATAAATATTGAGGCAGAGTCACTTCTGCACATCGTAAAATTGGCAGACACTTCCCCATTGTATCCAATAAATATTTGTCAGTCAGCTTCAGGCTGTTTCCTCTTCACAGCCATGGATAAAAAAGCAATCTGTAAAAACCTCTACACTGAATATCCACCACAACAAAGTGTTGTCATTGTGCTGTCTTATACAGGAAAAACCAAGAAAGTCTACCAGTTTGAGGAAGATGACAAAACTCCTTTGTTTTTCTTCCCTTATGCAATAGCAGAAAACAAAAATGGGGACATCTGTGTTGTTAATCGCACAGCCATTAACAGAGGACACATTTGTGTTCTGTCCTCCTCTGGGAAACTAAAATTTAGATACAAAGGAACAAGTCCAGATCTAGTGCCTTTTGCACCCTATGGAATCTGCTGTGATGCTCAAAGCAACATTTTAACAAGTGATTGTGAGAGCAATTCTATACATCTGCTCAGCGAAAAGGGAGAATTCTTGACATATCTCATCAAAGACAAAGAAGACTTAAGATCAATGGCCATGTACCTAAACACTCTATGGATTGGAGGAAAAGATGGATTTATCTACACCTACAGATATGAAATTAGTGATAACTGAACAATCAAGACATTAACTTTTATTTTTTCCTTAGGGAAGTGTATAGCTAAAAATTTCATATCGCTATACAAAATTTGGTTGCCCATAATTTTTATCAGAAAAAACCAATTATTTTTACATGCATTTTTTAAATATAAAATGACAAATTAATCATTATTTTTTCTTCGGAAAAAAATGTTGATAAAAACAAAATATCACTCTTTTAAAAATTTTTATGTGAATATAAACACACATGTTTGCAGGAATATTATTTCCTTTAATTTTTTTTGAAATTTAATTTTTCCTGTAAAAAGCTGAGGTGAATTTAAAGAGAGTTGTTATGTTTTAAATGAATAATATCGTGCACTCGTGAATAATATGCACCATATAATACCTTAATTGGGTAGAGAAAGTATACGTATCTCTATTTCAAATAATTGCGATATACGTAATAAAATCGCACATCCCGTATTTTTTAAACTACACAGTAACACAAACACAAGCATCAGAAATTCATAAAGGTAAGACCAGAAACGCTACAGGGATTCGAATGCAATAACAATGTTTTTTTTTGGCGGAAATCAAGTGTTTAATTTATTGTGTTGTTTAGAAACTTATGTGAGATTAAAAAAATGTTTCTATCAGAAATATCCACTTGGAAATCAGACAAGTACATTGATAGTTTCACTTGCCTAAACTCTGCTATAATATACATTGTACTTAAATAAGTACCGTTAATGTCAATCCCTGTTGAAACTCTTAATCAAGACATGTACTTTGTTATTCCCACTACACAGACATAAAACATCAGTAATTCATCCAAGACTTCCAATTACATTCTTCTTTTTACATATATTTGATATATAGGATCTTTAAAGCTCTCATAATGGATATGAAAATCCTTGAAATTTATAGGGATTATCATAACATGTAACTTCTAGAGGTTGTCTAAGCTCTGCTGTAATATACATTGTACTTACAAGTACTTATAAATAGTAAGCCCAGGAGAGGGAACTACTCTTGCATGTTTTTTAATTTAGTATGCAACATACACTGTAACTATGTGGTGTTATAAATTAGAAAATTAAGTTGTTTGATATATTTGATATACATTTTTTTTAGTGCTTTACATTGTTTACAACAAAATGGTTTACAGGAGGTGTGTAAAGATTGTGTTAACAAACTTTTCCCTTATCAGAACATCATGAAGAACTCCTGTAATCTTGGTAGAAACTGTCTTCAAATCTGAAAATAGTTTTAAAGAAATAAAACTTCGCAAAGAATTAATTTTTTGATTTTCTGTGCAATTTTTTTTCTAATTTTTAGATTGTTTCCAACAAAATGGTTTAAAGGAAATGTGTAGAAGTACATGTATATGTAAACATCCTCCTTAAGCATTGTTTGAATTCTTGGTCTTATATCTTACCTACATTCCTTACAGGTAAAAATACTGCCCTGTAGTTTCCCACAGTAGGTACTTTAACCACAGCATTGTTAGATGGCAGTAGGACAATCATGTATTTATTGATGGTTGACTCCTCTCCATGGAAATATTCATCCAGTTCTAACAACATAAAATTACATGAGAGATAATTTTATACAAATAAATTATTTATTTCAAATAAATGAAAACTTGTCTTTTTATCTGTATATAATTTCATTTTGAAATGTATCATTTGATCTAATTAAAAAAAATGTCTATATCAAAATATGCTGTAAACAAACTTTTATTCCTGTGCGAGAAATGTTTGCGAGTTTTGCAACCTACTTTCATTTGCAAATATTTCTCGCTGTGAACCATTTATTTGGTTTTATATTGGTAGAAAATGCTTCCTCAGTTGCTAAAATAAATTGTCACATTTGATTTCAAACTGACAAATTGCGAATAATAGTTGGTTTACAGTTTTCTGTGTTGCTTAGGTCACAATGACTTACGTCAGGAAGGTATCAATCCACTTGATGTTACATTTAAAATTGGCTCAATTTGAAGGCATTTTTGAAAAGATTATTTGAATTAATTTCAATACTTCATAATGGAAAAATTAAATTAGCCAGTATAAAGATGAATAAAAAAGCTACACTGTACCCAAGGAATACAGCTATAACCTGTTGGAGCAGTTTATGCTTTTTTTATATAAACTGCATAAAGCGTAAACTGTCCCCAACCAAGTTTTACAGTATAACATTGGGAGCTATAATTAAGTCATTCGTTAAAGTTAAAGAAATCTGCATAATGGATTGTATAACTCTGCTAAGGCAATGAACTATGGCTAAAGCAAAATCTAAGTTCTAAAGCTACAAAAGTAAAATATGTTTAAAGTATTTCTTAAAGAATAAATTTTTTTTTAATTAAAATAATGAATTCTGCATAACAAACATTGTACATGCAATCATCAGGATAGATTTACCTGTCAGAGTTTTAATGGAGTTTGCATCACTTATCTGGTTCTCTCCCCCTTGTCTGACTGTCACTCTGTATTTAGGAAAAATTGCTCCCTGTTTCCTGTCTCCGTCTAAAGAAGTATATAGTCTTAAACATGTTAGAAGTGATATGAAAATAATGTTCTCTATAAAATTACTGTTATCAAATTTGCAAAAGAAAACTTGCTGAATCACTTAATTTTTCTGCAGAACTGCAGATATTAAACATAGGTAATCAGAGATTAAAAATAAAAATGCAAATGTTGTATATTAAATAAAGCAAAGTCACACAATTAACCAACAAAAAATATACATTCCAAAAATGAAAATATCTAAGCAATTTTATTCATACTTTGAAGTAGACCAACATAAAAAATTTAAAGTAGTTCTTCTTCATGAAAATGTAATTCAGCATCTAAAGCAAATTTGAGTTTTCATCTCTTGATGCAACATTTGTGCAAGTTTGGTTTAAACAATGTTATAAAATGTTTTTTGGTAATAGACCTGCAACCATAACTTTAACCTGGTCTATTATCTGAAAAATATATTACAATTCAGCATGAAGAAGTCCATTAGTAAACATGTATCGTCCATGCAAATTTGCACATTATAAGTCTCATAGTTAATTGGAAATGAAACATACATCAAAAACTAACATTTTCACTCATCCACAAAATATATTCAGCATCCGAAGCAAGCCTGGTAGTATGCATCCTAAGATGTATCATCCATGCAAGATTGGTCATTAAAGAACTCATAGTTACTTGGAAATGAAACCTGCACCAAAAAACACAAAAAATGTAGGTCAGATTCAGCATCCGAAGCAAGCCCAGTAGTGTGCATATTGATTTATCATCCATGCAAGTTTTCAACATAGCTTAAATACTTGCAAATGAAACCTGAATAAACACTTTAACCTGTTCACTTGAAAATGTAGGTCAGACTGCATGAAGCAAGCCCAGTATCCATCCTTAGATGTATCATCCATGCAAGTTTGGTCAACATAGGGCTTATAGTTACTTGCAAATGAAACCTGCTCCAAACACTTTAACCTGTTCACTCAACCGGAAAATGTAGGTCAGATTCAGCATCCGAAGCAAGCCTGGTAGTATCCATCCTTAGATGCATGATCCATGCAAGTTTGGTCAACATAGGACTTACAGATACTTGGAAATTCGAAATACTTTAACCTGTTTCAACTGGAAAATGTAGGTCAGATTCAGCATCCGAAGCAAGCCCGTTTTGCATCCTTTTATCATCCATGCAAGTTTGGTTAACATAGGGCTTATAGTTACTTGGAAATGAAACCTACACCAAAAACTGCACCAAAAATGTTAACCTGCTTCAAAAACATTAACCTGGTCATTCCTTTGCTAAAATTGCAGCATCTGAAACTTTGACTGGTACAATGAAACACACTAGAACCATCTTCCATGCATGTCTAATCAATATAGGACATAGAAGTACTTAAAAAGAAAACTGCTCCAAAAAACTTAACCTTAACCCGGGACGCCGACGCCGAATTCGACACCGATGCCGACGCCACATATCACAACTTCGTTGAGGTGAGCTAAAAAATGGCTCAACTACATTGTATTTAGAAGTTAGAAATGTTACAAAGTTGACAGAAAATGGCAGAAAGATGAAGGAACAGATAGCAATTGCCACATTTCAGATGGACTCTGGTGGCATACCTAGGATTTAAACCTACAATGAACTGATAATATACATGCATTCATTTATCATTACTTTGTATGTGAGTTACATAAATATTACATGTACATATTATACCTAGGTTTGCCTTCAAAAGCTTGGACAAGTCTGTCAGATCCTTATCAGTCCAAGACGTTTCCAGATTTAAAACATCAATGTCAACTGTGAACTGAAACTGAAAAAATATTAATTATGTAAAATAGAGCAAAAAATATATAATATTTTAATACTTATCTTGCAAAATTTAGGTAAAAAAATAAAGCTGGTGTACAGTGCTTCTATGCTTTAATAAGTTTTGAAATATTTTTAAGTAAGAAATTGAATCACAGTATCACCTCATGAAAGTTTTTCATATACACTCAAAATTTGGGCATGGTCAGTCACTCTGCCAGGTTTATGCCTTCTTTATCATTAAAAGTAACATTTTTTTGACAGACTCAGTAAAAAGCTAGTTATTAAAGTTAAGATGAGCAATATCTTCATAATTTTTTTTTCAACTAGTGGATTTTACACTTATAGCAAGCAAAACCAGCAGAGTGAAGCATTGCTCACACAGTGAGCTCTATCAAATATGCCTGAGTGAAGAGAAAATTTGGACATGCACATTGATCCAAAATTTTTTTTTCTGCATCAGTAACTTCTTGATAACACTACATTCTTGCAATAATAACGACAAAAGTTCACACAAAAATTACTTTGAATTAATGAATATATTGCAGATGAAAAGTAAATAAAATAAAAAAGTTTGGCGTTTCAGAAATCAGCACTGTTCAGGCTTTGGTTAGGTAATACATGTGTACCTATGAGGCTATGACATCACATGAAATCCAAGTCTACATGCAGCAAATGTAGAGTGTGGTTTGAATAGATGATTCTTAACACAGTTAATAAATAGTACCCTGAAAAGTATCTGCGCTCACCCTTACGCCGTGCGGTTGCATGTCAACATATTTGTTCTCAGAAAAACAATGGAGTCTAATTTTTTGCTGGACGCATCAAGGCACTTGGTGAGACATCTTACCTTAGTATTTGATAATTCTGCTATCTCTGAATATGGCAGACTCACTCGATACACCTCAGTTGTCTTCCACCATAAGGGTATTCCAATAACAATGCAGATTACCCCAAAGCTTATCGCAGCAATATGCTGGATGGACTTGTCTACAATTTTAATCATTATTTGGAAAGTTTTACCACTGTTTACGGTTTAGAATTATTGTGGATAAATCAAACTTATTAAAATGTTACTTGTTGTCTTGCATTCAAGCTCGTTCACGTTCATCGATCAACAGATCAATAATGCATGTATTCCGACATCGCTTCAAATTGATCACTCAAGTTCCATTAATTACTTTTATTGTGCATTTCTATTCTATGAATCTCAGTTTAACCATCCATTTAAATGATCTATATTTTTTTTTTATTTTATCTGGGATATATCTCGTTTATTATGAATGAAAAAATGGTTAAAAGTGTACCCTTGTCCTCAGACGCATCTTCTCCCGGCATGATGATACAGGAAGTAAACAAATGTAGCACATTTTATTCCTCCTTACTCTAAAGAGTTCTACTTCTAGTCAAGGGTTTGCAAGAAGGTTTGTAGAAACTAGTTACTTCACTATGGATAGCCAAAACTACTTTCGAAAATTTAAGCGTAAAAATTTATTTTGGAGACTAAAAGCAAAAGAAATTAGAATTATATGAACTAGGCTTTTTTTTTGGTATTTCAAATTTTACAAAATTTTATTTAATTTTGATACGACCCCTATAGTGTCTTTATCAATTATAACATATTTTTAGATTGATAAGAAATGGCTTCAAACACAGTGTCAAGATTTCGAGAACTTGGCAAGAAAATAGTTGCAGTCGGAAGAAATTATAGGTGAGGTTTACTGGTTTAATTATTACCAATTTACTGTCATTTATCAAGTGAACCTGACACTGGGGTCATTATATAGAGTGTTCGAAACCCTGAGCCCGATGAAATAAAATACAGTACAATATCCATGCAGTGTTCAAGGATGTCTCCTCCTCATTCAGGTACCACAAGTCCACGAGATGAAGCTTGAAATTGTATGAAAGACTTCAAGGGTCAAATAATGAAAGACATGAAAAACTTGAAAAGTTGTGATAATTAAATCGATCATGATATTGATATTAAAAGTTTTTATTACAACTAAAGAAAGTCATTACGACAGTTCAAGAAAAATTATAATCAATATAAAAAGTTGCTATTATGACTATAATCAATTATGTCATATAATAACATCATAATAATGAAAATATTGACGAAATAAAAGGTCATTATTTAGACTTAAGGAAATCATAATATCAAGATAGACACAAAATATCCAGGTAAAAAATGTAATAAAGAGATAAAAAGTTGGTTATTAAATTTAAGAAAGTTGAAATTACATTACAAAATGTCATTAATAACCAAAAGCCTAGTAGGGTTAAATAAGAAAACAATATGGTTTAATTAAAAAATGTAAAAGTCAATAACAAGATAAAAAGTCATGATTATCAAGATAAAAAATCTTTAATACATGTACAACTAAAATGAGTTGTAATATCAATAACAACAAAAAAAAAAAAAAAAAAAAAAAAAAAGTCTCATTATGAGACTTTTATCTTGTAATAACTGACTTTTTATCTCGTAATAGACTTTTTAATTCTGGTGAATATATAACTGCATGAGTATAAATTTCATCTGGTTATTACAAAATTCTTATCTGTTGTAATGACATTGTGAACTTTCCAAAGTCACAATTTCATGACTTAAATTAATTTTTTTATCTTGCAATTACAACTTTCTAAAGTCGTAACTAATAATGTCTTTTTATCCGATTATTAATGACTTTTTTTCTTGTTATTACAGTGTATTTTACAACTCTTCTTTCATTCTCTAAGTTGACCTTTGTAGGCATTCATAAAAATTCAGGGTTCTTTGAAATTTTTGAAATTGTCACATCATTGAACATCACCACAACATTTGATGTCAAACCACAATGTGTTGACTCAGGACTATTGAGGTTAATTGTGAAGATGACAATTAATTGAAGAAAATGAAAGAATTAAGGGAAGTTCAACATCTTTAAAAAAAAACATTACTATGACATGCACTTTTCTCCAAACTCTGGATATACCCATATTTTTTTTTTAAATCCTAAAATATATTTGTTGTTGATCTATTTACATTTAGAGAATGTATAAAATGTGATTTTATTTGGATTTCCTGATATTTTGTTTTCAGTTTTGATAATTTTCCCTATTTAAAAGATTTATATATGATATGATTTTTTTTAAAAATAAAGTTTGAACTTTAAAGAAATACTATGGGTAAATACAAATTACTTTATGAAGAGACATTTTTGTGAGCATTTTCAAATAATTTACTCGATCACTCCTGGTTTTCAGAACCTGACGATCAGACTAATTAACTTTTGTAAAGATTTGAATTTTCTCTTATCATGTTTTCAAAAATAAATGTGATATTAACATGTACATGTACCATGCATTTATATATCTATTAGTGAAAACAAAAACCCTGGGGTATTTTCATTAAATAAAGTAATATATTGGAATGAAAGTATTTCACAAAATCACATATTTAGAGAAGTTAATAATTTTCAATACAGGGAACACGCTGCAGAACTAGGAAATGTTGTACCAACAAAACCAATCCTGTTTCTAAAACCAACATCTTCTTATATCACAGAAGGTCAAAATATAAAGGTAACTCAAATCTTATTTATGTTTATAATTGTCTAACATGTGTTGGTAGCATAGCCACTGAATTAATTACATATTTTTCACTTAACTGTACATATTGAGATCATGCAGTATTTTGATCAATAAAAGTGCTTCTTATTATCTTTACTTACTTTGATAAAATAACAGATTTCATTACTTGTATACATCTTGATGGAAAGATGCGTGGTTCCATCCTCAGGTGGATCCTCCTTCACCAGCTGTTTCGGCGCTGTCCACTACAGCCTCCAGAGGTGCGCCGACTGGGGTGATCAAGTCCCAGCCTGGAACCACTTGGCTCTACATCACTGCTGTACTAATTCAGTGTCTGTCTTACTGTTGTTTATTCACATCACTGCTGTTCTACCTTTACTGTCTATCTCACTAATGTTTATTGTCTTTCCACTTATCTGCTCTTCTTCTCCACAACCACATGGACGCTGATTCCGTCTCCCTGCACAGATTCCCTATCAGCCTCCTTCTCTCTGCTCCCGTTATGCCAATGGCTCTCAGTGCTCTCCACATAGACTGTCCCACGAATCCTCTACAACCCACTTCCACTGCAAAAAACCAGACCTTCCATCCGTTCTGCTGACAATCTTTCAGTAGGTCTTGGTACTTAAGATTTTTCCTTTCATATGCATCCTCCATCCTTTCTTCCCATGGCACTGTTAACTCCAAAATAATTGTCTGTCTTGTAGCCATTGACCAAAGGACTACATCCGGCCTCTTGTTTGTGGCTATTATTTCCGGTGGAAATACTAATCTTTCCTTAAGGTCTACCCGCATCTGCCAATCTGTTGCGGTCCCCAAGAGACCACTTCCTTCAACTCTAACTTTATGTCCCTTTTCACCTTCTTTCACAAAGTTGACGAATCTCAGGCTCTCTGCGTTCTTCTTTGGCCTTTTAATACCTTTCTCCAAGGTGTCAGCTATACTGGCTAGGACTCTATCATGTCTCCAAGTGTATCTCCCATCTTTCAAAGCCTCTGAGCATGCTGATAATATGTGCTCCAAGTTTGCTGGTCTACCACAGAGGACACACTTTGGATCTTCTGTCATTCCCCATGTTACCAGATTAGTTGGGCTGGGAAGAACATCATAAACTGATTTCAGCTTAAACTGAAGTCTGAATGGTTCCATCTTCCAAATATCATTCCAACCCAACTTCACTTGACGTGCATTCTCCCAGTTCACCCAGCTACCTTGTTTCTTCATTCCAACTGCTTTGACCATTCTCGAATCTTCCTCCATTGCACGCACCTCCCTCTGCACCAAACTACGCTTCTCTTCTACCGAAGCTGTACCCCATCTTGCTGTTGGTGTGACATCAAGTCCCTGCCTTCCTATTGCCAGTCTTCCAACAATGTCACTGTGTCTCAAGCGGGATTCTGCTTCTTGTACAGTTTCTTTTACTGACCATTTTCTCCCCGTCCTGATATCTACTTTTGCTGTCCGAACCTTCTCGTCTTTGCTATTCTGTAACATTAAGTGCTGACGCACCTTTGTCACCTTGAATTCCTCAGTAATTGACTTTAGAGGTAACTGTAGCTTAGTCCCAGAGCTGTATAATCCAATGCTGCTGAAACTTCTTGGTACCCCCAGCCATCTCCTCAGGTATCTGCTCGCTGTTGTTTCCATCCCTTCTACTGTGCTCATTGGTACCTCATACACCAATAGCGGCCACAGCAAGCGAGGTAGTATCCCATGTTGGTATATCCAGGCTTTATATTTACCGGGTAGTCCACTTTTATCCACAGTTTTCATCCATTCATCCAGCTGTCTGCATGTTTCTTTCACATTTTGTCTGTCTGTTAATGTGTCATTAAAGAATTTCCCTAAACACTTTACTGGCTTCTCTGAGACTGTTGGTATTGCCTCTCCTTCAATCATGAATCTAACTTCTTTTACTTTTCCATTCTTTATCACTAAGCTACGGGACTTGCTTGGTTTTACTTTCATTCTTGCCCAAGTGATAGCTTGTTCTAGTTCATGTATTGTCCACTTGGCTTCAATAACTGTTTTGGTTGTTATTGTCATATCATCCATGAATGCTCTCCCAGGTGGTTGGCGTACTCCTGACTTCATCCATGGCCCTCTGCTCTTCTTCTCCACTGACTTGACTATCACGTTCATTGCTGCTGAAAATAGGATTACGGATATGGTGCATCCTGTGACTATTCCAACTTCTAAGCGTTGCCATGCTGTTGTGTAATCCTGTACTGTGAATCTTAGTTGAAGATGGTCAAAATAGTCTTTTAAAACTACCCTCGTCTTCTCTGGTACATGGTATCTTTCAAGTGTCAGCTCGACTAGTTTATGGGGAACTGTCCCATATGCATTGGCTAGATCTAGCCAGATGACTGCCAACTCCCCTTTTGACTCCTTTGTTTCCCGGATAATCTGTGTCAGTACACTTGTATGCTCAATACATCCTGATACTCCGGGTACTCCTCCCTTCTGCACAGCGATATCAATATACTGATTCTCAAGCATGTACCTAGACATTCTCCTTGCTAAAATTGCGAGGTATATCTTCCCTTCTACGTTCAGGAGCGATATAGTCCTAAATTGTTTCAATGCCTCTGATTTCTCTTCTTTGGGAATAAAACAGCCTTCTGCTCTGTACCAGCTATCTGCCAATCTGCCCCTCCTCCAAATCACTCTTATCAGTTTCCAGAGGCGCTTTGTCAACCGTTGACAATTCTTATAAACTTTATAAGGAACACCATTTGGTCCTGGTGCTGATGCTGCTCTAGCTTTCTTGATAACATCTGCTACTTCTTTTAGTTTTGGTGGTGATTCATCAAAGGGTTGATTTGGTTCTTCTGGTTGTATCAACTTCTCCCACTCCCCCAACTCTTCCTCCCTATGTGGATCACTGTGCATCTCCCTCAAATATTCCTCAACGTCTTCCTTCGAAGATTTCAATGATCCGGACCCTTTATTTCCTAGTAATCTTGATGTAAACTGAAATGGGTCTGCTGTGAATCTTGCTCTTGCTCTGTCTCGCTGTTTCCTTCTACGCCTACTTCTCTCTGCTCTTCTTGCTATCTTGAGATGTTCCCTGATGTTATTTCGTAACTGTGATAGGGCCGGTTTCTCCTCATCGGTAGCCTTCCTATACTGCTTACGAAGCTGCCGCAAGTCTTTCCTCATCTTTGCTATTTCCCTCTCTCTCCTGTTCTTCCTTCCTTCTTTTTGTGACTTTTTCCTTTGTTCTGCACCAAACCTGTCTAGACCTACGCTGTATATAATTGATGTCATAGCTTCTATTTTCCTGTCAATACTGCCTGCAAGGGTTGTGTTCAGAATTGCATCCACATCTTTGTCAAACTGTTCCCAGTTGCTTTTGTTGTTACTGTTGGGCCATTTTACTTTCTTCTTTCTTATATTACTGTCAGCACCCCTGTTGTCTCCCATCTCTTCTTGCTGTTGATTGATGCTCTGTGATTGGTTATTGACCTCGCTGTCCTGACTTTCACTGTATGAAGCCTCGTCGTTACCTAACACGTGGAGGCTGCGGTCGCTGTGGTTTTCGTCCTGAACCACTTCCTCCTCCGTCTCACCAGGTTGCCCTGTGCGTTGTGTTAGCTGCTGATCTGGCTTACATCCCATCCTCCCCATGTGGATTTTCAGCCCCTTTTCATTCTTGCATACTTTCCCACAGCTGCATACATTTCCACTGTTCGTATTCGTTGTCGTTTTTCGTTGCCTGGTTGTATCCTGATTTTCCGTCCCAACAGGTCGCTCATCCTCCCCCGCTCTCGCGCGACCTCGGGGGTATCTAAGTATGTATCTGTCCATAGCGTGATGAAATGGGTCCTTCCTCACGGAAGATGTGCTTTGGCCTGCCAAGCCTCCACACCCCTGATCCCAGTCTCTCCTGGTTGTCTCCTGTCTCTCCAGGTTGTCACTGAACTTTTCTCAGTTGTCATCCAGACTTTCCTGGCTGTCACTGGTTTCCCAGATAATATTACTTGTATACATCTTGATGGAAAGATGCGTGGTTCCATCCTCAGGTGGATCCTCCTTCATCAGCTGTTTCGGCGCTGTCCACTACAGCCTCCAGAGGTGCGCCGACTGGGGTGATCAAGTCCCAGCCTGGAACCACTTGGCTCTACATCACTGCTGTACTAATTCAGTGTCTGTCTTACTGTTGTTTATTCACATCACTGCTGTTCTACCTTTACTGTCTATCTCACTAATGTTTATTGTCTTTCCACTTATCTGCTCTTCTTCTCCACAACCACATGGACGCTGATTCCGTCTCCCTGCACAGATTCCCTATCAGCCTCCTTCTCTCTGCTCCCGTTATGCCAATGGCTCTCAGTGCTCTCCACATAGACTGTCCCACGAATCCTCTACAACCCACTTCCACTGCAAAAAACCAGACCTTCCATCCGTTCTGCTGACAATCTTTCAGTAGGTCTTGGTACTTAAGATTTTTCCTTTCATATGCATCCTCCATTTTTTTTATCCATTGTTTATAACCTCCTCTAAATTGAGCTGAGGATGGTTTATCAGTCTGTTTGTATGTATACCTGAAAAAGTCATTAAGTGGTTTATGTGTGATCAATAGATTCCACCCAACTGCAAATCCCTTCATCACGAGGTAGAACTAGGTATTGTTATAGGGAAAACGGGGAACAATATAAGCGAGGAGCAAGCTATGGACCATGTCGGAGGTTATGTATTAGCCCTGGACATGACAGCCAGGGATTTACAGGTAAGTCATTGTTTGTGGCTGGCATCTACAGGTATGACATTTTATATAGCACAGCATCTACAGGTATGTCATTTAATATGGCCCTGCTTCTACAGGTAGTCATAATATATGGCACTGCATCTACAAGTATGTCAATTTATATGGCACTGCATCTACAGGTATGTCATTTTATATAGCACAGCACCTACAGGTATGTCATTTTATAAAGCACTGAGCATCTACAGGTATGTCATTTTTTATGGTACTGCATCTACAGGAATATCATTTTATTTAGCCTCCTATCTACAGGTATATAATTTCATAATACCTGACATTTACAGGTATGTCATTGTATATGGCCCCACAATAATAGTTATGTCATTTCATATAGCCCTGTGTCTATACCCTATACTTATAGATGTTTATGACAAAGGAACATCCTTTATCTTCACATAGCTTCGTGGAGAAAGTAGATGCTGAAAATATTTCCAAAAGTATCAATGGAAGATTCATAAGGGGGAGAAATGTTTTCACCCAGCAGTGCGTTTCATTAAAAAAAAGAAAGGCCTGGGGTATATTCCACTTTTTGTGTTATTTTGGACAATACAAAAAACTACAGGGTATGGAAAAGCTGTGTGGTTTTTATGACATCACAATCAATACTAAATACAGTCTAATTATAGTACTAATTCTAGCCAGTAGGGTATGGATGATACATAGAAAAAAATTATATTGTCAAAAAATACATTGTATATTGTTTATGGTGGACAAATGCTTGAGATTTTTTTTTTGAAATTCGATCCCACGAAATAAAATTCGCTCCCATGAAAGAAAAATTCGTTCCAACAAACTGAAATTCTTCCCATCAAATAAAAAGTCGTTCCCACAAAATAAAAATTGATTAATTCGACTCGTTCCAACGAAATTAAACTTGTTCCCACGAAATACAAATTCGATCCCATAAAATTAAATTCATGGGAACGAATTTAATAACGTGGGAACGAACGATTTGAAAAAAATCCACCGTACATATATAAATAAAAATAAAAAATTACAAAAGAACTGAATTTATTTTTGCAACTACTTTGATTTAATTTCAATAGTGCTAGCGCTTTACATGTACATGCATTTCGATGCTGCCACAATTTTATTGGACTTTACTAACATTTTCATAACCTCAAGTTCAAGTTCATTTATTCACTCAAGACCATTTAAAATATATGGTAAATGAGGACAATGAAAAATATTTACAGCATTATGAGCATATAAATTCAGGTCAGAGGTACAAGTATATAACATACATAATCAGAAAATGAATTGGGAGAGAAAGGAAAAAAAATCATGAAGGACAGACTAAATCATGTATTTTTAATATTATAATAAACATACATAGTTTTTTCAATGTTTTAGCATCTTGTTTTGTCATCAGTTCAATGAGAAAATTTAACTATGTTTGGTGTAATAAAATATATACTTTCTCATAATGTTTGACAATGCAGTACATTCAAGTATAAAATGGAATTCCTTGGCAACACGCTCAAAATTTATTTTTAAAAAAGTTTATACACAGTACCCTTAGATGAACTATTAGTTAAAATCACAGCATAATGTCGTAATTTGATTTTTGCAGAAAGTGTATATATATACGAGCATCTCCCAAACCCATAGAGATTATTATTTTTTTGATCACTAAACATAATATGTTTAATAGAAATTACATTGGTTTATACAGAATATTATGAGCTGTATTACCGGTTCTTTAATCCTGCTTATTCAGGATGTTATGATTCTTTCAAGTACAATCCTGCTGATTCAGGATAAATATCAGATAAGTACTTGAAATCATTTGTCTCTAGTTTATGGACAATTTTTCCAAAGAAATGACCCTCCCTCTGCACCGACGAACATGTCTCTGGAACCGCTACTTTCTTAGATCCAGTCAAGCACATACTTGTACGAGGGGCTATCAAAAAGTTCGTGGACTAGCGCTATAAAATTAAAACCGCTATAGGTACATGAATGAATTTTAAAATATCTAGTTATCATTGTCTTTTCTATCTATAGAATAAATCACAAATTATGAATTTTATTTTTTAATAAATTAGCAATGTTTTTGTAAGCAATGGTATGTCCATGCGGCGCAACCTCGAAAACGACGTTTTTTTCGACCTAAGTGTAACTAAGAAAAACTATTGTGATATGAACATTTGACATCCAAATACCCTGTTAATTCAGGTATGTGTTGGGACACTATTGTGTCATAAAATATTAAATTTTCACCTCATTCTGAAAGTTCTATGAAATTTTATCATAAATTTTACATGGAGTATCCAAACAAATATTGCCTTGAAAATGACGTCAAAAGGGGGGAGGGGTTTCCTTTTCCAACATTGCCGGTAGAAAAAATGGTATACACCTAGGAAATGTTTAAACTGGCTACGGAGAAATAATGTGCATCCAGATTACTTGTTTTTAATGCCAAAATAGATTCAGAGAGAAAAGGAATGCACAGTTAATGTCGATTTGTAGTCAAGGTGTGAAAAATCAATCACGGCAAAAAATGACGTTTATAATGTATTGTAGATCTATAATGAACTCCAAAAAAGCAAAATATGCTGGCACAATCAAGCGAGGGTCTCTGCCATTGTATAGATCTTATTTGTAATAGTATATGCATTGAAAGCCGCTGTTCATGACATTGTAAAGTCATATAAACAAGACGGATTGAAGTCCTTCCTCAGCTCCATGGAATCTCATCAGAAATAGTGTATGAGGTAGAAAAAACAGACACTGAAAAAAACAATGACGTTGTCGGACGTCATAAAACTAAACGGCGACAGCGCCGGGTGATGATATAATATCGTTTTTATTTCATAATAATTCAGGAAATAATGAACATATGTAGCTAAAATTTTCAACATTTCTTTATTTTTTGTTGTTTTATGTTCCTTCAAAATTTTGTAAGCTCAGACTACATAGTACTAATTTTAAAGCCTCAGTCCACGAACTTTTTGATAACCCCTCGTATAACTTAGAATTTGACATTAATTAACATTTATAAGTTAACTTTATTGGACAAGCCGGTTCAGCGGTTGACTATCAAAATTTATGTCCAGGGGTGCTTGTAGATAGGGCCTATATTTGCTAATTGATTAGTAGAATTTAATGTAAAGCCATAAGTCCTACGTTCTAATAGGTGTTGGTTGTTGGATGGGAAAACAGAATGATAGGACTAAAGAAGAAAAAAATTAAATCAGTGTATCAAAACAGAATACTTGTCTTCCGCAAAATTTTCGTCAGTGCTTACTTACCTTTGTCTCAGTGCGGAAAGGTTAGTATTAAGACTCAAGAGGTTAAAGAAAACTAAATATTTCTCGTTTATTTTGTAAAGGTATATACTTTGTTCTTCATTAAAATAAAAATATAATTTATTTCTGCAAAAAAATAGGAATTAAACCATTTTCACACAAAGACTTTTTAAGGTATTACCTATTATGCATGACGGAATTGTTAAAACACAAGAAAAATTGAATGATACTTACATTGTGCTCCATTATTTATATTTTTCATGCAGGGTGAATTATAAGGAGCTTTCATTTATTTTAAAGATATCAGTCAAATAGTTGATCATGTTGAAATCATGTTGATTTTGAATGGAATTTGACATTTTTGGTTCTTTTAAGCTCATTTTTTTTTGTAGAAAAATGATGTCTGAAAATTATCTATTTTCAGCATTTCACATTGTTTTTCAATAATTTGCATGTGCTGCTGTGAAAAATAGCATATAAAGGTATTTTTTTAATGCCTAAAAATTAAAGATAGATTACAAGGAAAGAAATTTCAAATTTCAAAGTTCTGAAAATTTCATGCAAAGACTTTTGGCCCCCTTAAGACATGATCATGAAAAAATATTCTTAAAATGTTTTCATACTCCATTTTATAGCTTTGTTGGTTGTGTGTTGTGCATTGTTGAAGCAATAGAATGTTTGTTTTCTACATGTCAGCATTCTCTGGTTGTATAGGAATTTATGCTTTGGGTACTGCATGAACAGTAAGGAACTGTCAGGATTAAAGATTAAGCTGTATTCCCTTGACTATATTTAAGTCTTATTTCTAAATCTAAAATGGTCAACCTTACGTTCGACGATATCAATAAGGATAGCTAATAAATTTGCAAATTTATTAATTTTGAAAAATTAAAACTTTTGAGATTTCAAGTAATTATGCCAAATCTTTATACATGGAACAAGCTGTGGAAGCATTGAGTCTCAAGTCAAAGAATATACTTCTTTAAACAAATCAAATTACATATTAATTTTTTAAAAGCAGCAGTTCTCTAAATAAAGTACACTATGAGGACAGGACTTATATAAGTCAAGAACTGGAATTTCTTAGAACATTCGTGAAACTTGTATGGTTTTTGTTTCTAGGATGAGGCTAAGAAGAAGGGTCATCCTTGGACGCTTGCTAAAGGCTTTGACACGTCATGTCCGATCAGTGACCTCATCCTGAAGGACAAACTACCACGGCCAGATAACGTCAATTTGTGGTTGAAAGTGAATGGTCAAACAAAGCAAAATGGTGACACCAAAGACATGATCTTTAGCATTCCTTTTCTTATTAGTTACATCAGCAAATACTTTACGTTGGAGGAAGGTGACGTCATTCTAACAGGCACGCCCTCTGGTGTTGGACCCGTTGATAAAGGAGACGTGATTGATGCCGGGATTGACAATATTACTTCTTTTAAATTTAAGATTGAATAAAAGAAAAGATTTAAAAGAACAAGGTTCATGTGTTATTATATTTTGCCCTAATAATTTTCAAAAATTAAAGTTTTAACTGAATGCAAACTTTATAGTAGAAATACATGTTGGATATTATGCTATTTACCTTTATCTAATAATTTATTTAAAGAAGGAAAAAGGACAATTTCAAAAATGTTCATACCAAACACACATATGATGTTTATTACACTATATCTTGAATGGTTTCTTTAAAACTGAAACACTTATTTAAGATAAGTGAGGTCAAGGTCGAAGGAAAGGCCGAGGTCAAAATTTTTTGTTGCAGTTGAATACTACTAGTAGTAACTCTCCTTAGGAGATGACGTACTAAGTTTTAAGAACTTGTGTCCAATCCTTTAGTTGTAACATCTAAACAATAAAATATGTTAAAATCACTAGTAGCTCTTATCAATATGTAATACAGTATGAATTTTGAATATATAATATATATATATATATATATATATATATATATATATATATATATATATATATATATATATATATATATATATATGTATCTTGAACTGTTAAGAAATTTTTGAGAGCTGAGCTGATTCCAAAGCACGCGACAGAAGGACGGAAGACATACACTGTGCATAACAAACTCCACTGGCCTATGCCCCAGCCATATTCAAGGATAAATACGGAGATATTTTAGGTAATTTTTTCTGGAATGAGTGACTAGTTAAGGAATCACTGTCTAGTTAGTGTAGTATGCCAGGGCATCAACGATAATGGGAAACATGGGATAATTTGCATAACGGGCGAAGCCCGTTATGCATAAATTATCCCATGTTTCCCACTATCGTTGATGTCCCTGGCATATTATACTAACTAGACAGTGATTCCTTATATACCCATTTCATTGTGAAATAAAATTGTAGATTTAGACTTTAAAAATGTAAACTAATCGATTTAAATTACAAGAGGACTCCCATGCCAATTTCAATAGTCCTCGCCCACTGACGTCAAACACAAAAGGCAGCCGCACGAGATTTACATGCATATTTGGCCTCCTTAGCGTCAGACACGGAGACAGATGCGCACGAGATTTGCACGCATATTAGGCCTCCTTAGCTCCTGACCTATCGACTGCCTAATTTACATTCCGGTAGAATTATCAAGAAATAAACTCCCCTAACTTTCAAAGAGTTACTTAGTATCACAGAGAAAATAGAAATGGAAATATTTACATTTATACGCTGAATACCAGTACATGTATATGCCTAATTCATTCTTTGGTTTCGGTCATACTAAATTTGATCCGATATATCTTTGAATATTAGTAACTCTAAAGGGTGAAGTCTAGTATGTTATGTTTTGAAACTGAAATGAAATAATCAAAATAACGGATGTGCTGTCAAGTCGAATTGTTGCATTTCACTTTCATACAATTCTTTATTGATTCACTCACTCTAGATCTACAACATTAATTTACTTAATATTAATTCTCAAAAAACATAATATTCATAGGAAGATAGGAGGTATGGAGAAGTGTATTTTGTGTTTTTACATAATTAAGAATTCCATATTTGTGTTCTCAAATACACAAATATTTACATTTATCTGAAACAAGAATTCTAATTTTTAAAAAAATATTCTATGCCTTAAAAAATTGCATTAGAAACAAAAAAAATATATAACAGAACTTCAGTACAAGTCGAGACATGATATGTAGTATATCAAAAGAGAAATCGCGGATCGTAAATGTGACGAATTACATAAAGATGAAGAGAACGCACTATAAATTTAAATTTCTACAATTTATGAGTATTCATGTAAGTCTGCTTCCTGTTTTTAAGTTTGTATACAATTACAGAAATTACTACCGGATCTATACAACCCTACTAGTACTCTGTCTTCCTAAGACCCACAGTTTTTGTCTACTTTAAGGGTCGACTGTGTGAAGATTTCTAAAATGCCCCATCCTCTTAGTATTTTGCTAACTGTCTTTTGGCTCTCGGTTGTTCGATCTGACGAGAGAGGTAAGTGAAACTTCTATATGTAGAAGTTGTAAAATACTGTAAAAATTGCATTTCTTCTCATTTAGTGATTCTATCACGTGACGTAGCAACAAGAAAGGGAAAAAAACCTTTCACTAAAAGCAAATAACAGCCAATTTAGGATAAAAAAAAAATTCAAAATTTTTTTTTGAATTTGATATAACGAATTGTCGAATAATTATTTTTTTTTTGAGGACGTAATGTCGGTTAAGTTCGCTATAACTGATTTGTAGGATCCATTATTAATTTAACAAATTCAAATATTGTTATATAACAGATTACATTCGTTAAATCGAATTCTAAAATTTATTTCAACGAATTAATTTCGTTTAAACAGGTCCTAAAATTGCTTTATGAATTAATGTTTTTTATTCAAATAATTTAACAAATCTGTTAAAGAAATTAATTCGTCTTCAATTAAAAAAGCAATTCGTTATATCGAATTCAAAAATATTTTTGGTACGTCCTTAATGCTATAATGCTAACTAATGCTACTAGTTTGTAGTGCAATAATTTTATCATTATTATTTATTTCTACGAGGATGACTGATGCAGCAGTTCTTTTGATTTTTTTTTGGCTACAAGGTGTCTATTATGATGCGGCTCCTAGAAGCTGGCACGCGTCTTCTACAAATTGTCAGCAACTGGGAGCCTGGGAAGATACAGACTTCAGCACAGAAGGGTTCAGGGTACTAGCCCGTCCATCAGAGTTCCCTCTGGATCAGGTTTTCTGGATCGGAGCAAACATGCAACAAACTCCATCGTTCACACTCCTAGGTAATACAGTGTATATAGACACATGGTAAAGGTATACACACACCATCGTTCACACTCCTAGGTAATACAGTGTATACATAGACACATGCTAAAGATATATAACCATTAAAGATAGATAATTGTGCCTAATGTCTGATCTTCTTCCTATCAAATTTTTGTTGTTTGAAAAACAGTTCCAACGTGTAAAGGCATACCGGTATACAGTAATAATATGATAATGAATACTAGTATTAAAAAAGAAAGTTTTTGTATTAGTATTTCAAAGATATGCATTTGAACAATACTGTATTGAATTTTCCGTGTAAACTTTTAATAATACTTGTACATAAAAAAATCTTAAATTTTATATTGAAGGATGCTTTGAGACTACGGGATCCACGAAAGGCATTTCTCTAAAGACCATCGCTGGGCGTGGTAATCCCACCTATAAATGCTCGACTTTTTGTAGTAACAACGAGGGCATTACGGCAATAGGCATATCGGTAAGATAATAAAAAAATTGAACTGTATGGCGCACAGCTGTTTCTATATTTTTTTTAATTTTATTTATATACCTGTATGTCTGAAATTTCCTCATGAAACAATGAAAGACAAGAAATCCCAGGGCCTTGATAGTCACCTGATTACGTATGAGTTTCTCTGGCTGTGATGTATGTACATTGTAACAAAAATTTTACAGTTTGGTAAAGACTGTTTGATTATTATCATATTCATACAGCTAGTTTCCTAAAAGTTCAGAAGTAAAAGGATGATTTCCACAATTTGGGAGAATTCATTTATATATTTATATTTTCAAATTACTTTTTCTGAAATAAAACTGTAAAGTAAAACAAAAACTTGATTTTGTCATCAAGTTATTGAGTCATGTATAGGTTGTTTAAGAGAGTGAAAGATAATAATAAAGAGAAGCAAGAGAGAAAGATAAGTGAGCTGGCTTTGATCAAGCAAGTTTAAGGAATCGTGTAAATTTAAGGAATAACTGTCAATTGTTTTTGCTCTATGATGATGATAAAACAATTTGGCTTATATGGTAATTCTGTGCATAAACTTATTTGGCGTTAAGATAAATATCATACAAGCTAATTGCTTCAGAATCGTATCATAATACCAAAATTTAAGACAGTTATTCCTTAACCCCCGTTCACACAGACCTGCGACTTGACGACGATCATCCCGATCAAGCCACGATCTTAAAAAGTTTTGGATCAAGGCGGATCGGAGCTGATTGGCTTCTAAATCGAGCAATTTGGCAAATTATGGTCTTCATTACATGTACGACATCTACGATGCCTCTACGTCAAATGCAATACTAACACGCTTCTACTACGATGTTACACAGACCGTTTGCGACCAGCGGCCGCGTTCACTGCCTTCATGCTATGACATTCAAGATCATCCTACATGTACGACGCTACGCAGACCTAGATGACTGTATGACAATATTGCTACGGTGGTGCCGATCATATTACGATTGTATTACGCTTCTGTTACAGTTTTGACGATGATGTATATATATCTTGGATTTGAAACATATTTTTCACTTCTGTTCAAACTTCACACATGAACGGACGTATTAAAGCTGATCTGATTCATCTGGCTTTACTTCAGCAAAAGCAAATGTAAGTTGAACTTGAAATTGTACAGATAGTTGACAGGCGGAGGCGCAGAAGGCCATGAAGATACTGGGTACAGCCATGGCTATCTGTAGATAAGATGCTCAAATCTGGACAGTATGACACACTCCTACAAGAACCCCGAATGGAAAACACCAATGCCTTCTTCAACTTTTTGAGAATGGAACCAGCGATGTTGGATGAGCTGCTCGAGAGAGTTGGCCTAAGGATTCAGAAGAAAGATACCGTCTGGAGGAAAGCGCTAGAATCAAACTTGCCATTACTATAATTCCGCTTCAGGAGATAAGTACCCTAGTCTAATTTCTAACCTCAGAGTGGCTAAGAATACGATAGCGTGTCTCATTCCTGAGGTTTGCCAGACTATTTGTGAGGAATTTAAAGAAGAAGTGATAAAATGTCCAACAATTCTAGATGAATGGTCTTTCATAGCAGACGAGTTCAGATGGAATGTCCCACATGCATGTGGTGGCCTAGATGGCAAACACAGATGTCCACCGAACAGTTGCTCGCTTTACCTCAGTTACAAACACTTTTTTTCCATAGTGCTACTAGCACTGACAGATGCTGATTAAAAAAAATATGGATTGACTGTGGAGGACTTGTTTCTATTTCTGAAGTATTTAACGAATCTGAGCTCGAAACCATAGCGATTGGATTTCTAGCACCAGACCTATTTCCTCCTGACAATGAGCCGATGCCCTACTTTACTATAGTATTCTGGTATATGATGCATTTGGGTTGAGAACATACATGTATTTGATGAAACCTTATGCGCAAAGCTCTAGGTCTAATCAGAGAGAACTTAATCACAAACTACAGAATATCAAGGGGTCGCCGTGTCATTGAAAATGCTTTTAGTATTTTGGCACAGAGATGGCAGGTTTTACTCACAATTATGCAGCAATTCCCTGCAGAGATACAAGACATCATAGAATGTTGTGTTTGCCTTCCTAACCTCATGAGATTGCGCTACCCGGCTTTACAAAATGCCCAACTTGACCAGGATGATGATGACAATCCAGAGACCAGTGCCTGGAGAGAAGAAGCTAATATGTACGAAATACAGATGCCAGGAGAACCAAACAGGGACAGCATCGCTGGGAAGAGACAAAGGGAACTACTTAAACTCTATTATATGTACGGTATAACCTCATTCTTGAAACATACACATATAAAATATAAAAAAAAACATGACACACAGACAGACAGAACAATTCAAAGAACTTTATTCGGTAATAACCAATATTTGCCCCCCAAAACAAACATTGATGGAGATATATTTAATTAAGTTCTTTAACAGGGCATCATATGCTGACTTCAAAGCACTGAATATTTTCATAAGTAATGACGCCATTTGTACGTAATGACGTCACAAACATGACGTAAATTTCAGTTTTTTATGAATTTTACAGAAAAATGTACATATTTCGTCAATATTTTGAGTAAAAGTCACCGAGCGCATGAGTGTTCAGGATCAATATTTTGATATAATGTGTAGAATGATAATATCAATGAAATATGTCAATATTGTTCCTGAACAAACTTGCGCTCTATAAATTTTAAAGCTATAATTGATGAAATTTTGTTCATTTTGTTCTCTTTCTGAAAAAGGATATAAAATCGGACTAGTTTGTGACGTCATAAAAACAAAAATTGTGAATACACTGCTTTGACATTATAATATTTTCTGTTAATTTATATTTCTCATACAAATTATTGAATTCAGCACATTTCAGGAAGTTTTCAAAATTTGACTTTTGTGGGGGCAAATATATGCAATATACCGCATATAGTTCTTTGATTGAAACCAAACAGTAATACATTCGAGTTTATAGAGGTACAAGTATTGCCTTTATAAATGCAAATTCTTGAACTAAAGAGTATGCACAAAATTGTACATATAAACAGCGTGCATCAAAAATCTATACTGATCCGTTTTTGAAAACAAAATGAACTACAATTGTCAATTTAAAGCACGTCTGACACGACTTCAAAATAGCTTTAAGAGGTTTGACTGTTGCAAACAAAATGATATTGCTAGAACTACATATGTCTATATATTTATATGCATTGCATTGACTAACGTTTACTGCTGCTGTTGTCCGTCAGCTTTATCTAACAGAGAGCTGAGGCCTGCAAATACCATACCTGATCCCTCTTGTGACGGTCTACTAACGGGAGGGGTATACGCTTGCTTGACTCGTTGCTGCAACTGTTGCTGCTGCACCCAAGCACGTTCCTGAGATCCCCACACAGACGTTGTATTGACGACTTAGGATGGCCATTGTGAGGGATTAGGCTGCCATTGTACGGAATAGGGCCTTATTTGATAAAAGGTCAGGTCTGGGCTGGATCTGTTGTTGCTGCTTCTCCTGCATGTCAATATAGCGGCTCACCAGTTGTTGTACATCAGTCTGGAAGCAGCTCCGATGAGTCTTATTAAGACCTGCCACAGCTTGCTTAACCCAGTCCATTAAGGCATCACGCTGCATGTTAATAAGGTGTTCCCGACTACTTGCCAGGTCTGTCAAGATTGCATCATCGGAGGACCGGTTTTGAGGCTCTTGAATATCTTGATGTTGAAGATACACTTGTGAAAGTGGATACCGTTGTAGTAAAATCATCGAGGGTGTTAATGTAGAGAGCGCCTGTACCAACGGTATCATCTTGGGGATCAGCTGAGTCTGATGTCAAAGTCTCTTCAGTGTTTGTGGGGACCAACTTCGCCGTCTTCTGTTACTAAAATAAGTACGAATTAATACATTATCAACATTTTCATGTGCAATGAATATTAACATAGAAAACAACATGTCCCATTGTACAGTTTGACTTTTAACAACATAAACCATTACGCCATCTTACTATATGTAACGTGAATTATTATCATTGGACGGCTTATTGGGATCCACTCAGTTTTCGCTTGGAAATCTGTTCCAAAGGCATCAAGACTCAAGCAAATGACATAATTTCAACCTTATAATGAATGTGTACTTATGTACTTACACTAACAGGGATGTGTTTTTGTCGTCAATGATATAGGGCTGCAGGAAACTCACGCAGGATCCAACTGTCCCTTTCTATTAGTTCCTCATCTGGAGCATCGGGTGACATTTTCTTCAGCCGCCCATACCTTGAACAAATGCTACTATACTAGGTTTTGATGATGTCACCGTCTTTACCAAGCAGATTAGCTTGTTCCCTCCAGAAATATTCTTTCATCTGAGTTTCTTTATACCCCCTTAGCTTTTTGTCGTTAAGGTTTGGGTACGCGCTGAGCCATTCAAACATAGCCTGCTCCTGGTCCCCTGTAAGGTCTGTCTGTATTTCACTGTTTTGCTGCTGGAGGACATTTCTACTTTCTTCAACTTTGAATTGAGACTCAATAGAGGGATCATTAGGCTGAGGGGTTTCAGTAGAAGGAAGGGCACCAGCTTCAATGGTCGAAGGTTCGTCATATGCATGCTCTTTTCCGGCCTCAGGATTTTCTGCAGCAGGATTTTCAACGTCACAGAGCTTATAACCGCAGGTTTTTCACGACCTTTACCATAGGGTTTACAGGGCATTTTCAATTGTAACTGTAACAAGATGTGAAAATTTCGAAATTTTAACTGCAAATGATCTTCAGATATAATGTCACCCTTGATATGTAGTTGATATATGATGCTTGGTCAAATATCAGCACTATAAAAACAAAATGCTACCTGATAGGTCGTGGCATGATCGGCGCAAGGTCATTGTAGGTCTTCGTACAATCGTCAGGAACGTAAAGGGATCGTAGTGGGAACGTAGTTGGATCGTTGTAGGAGCTTGCCCCACACACATGGACGCCGCTTCTACTACGATCAACGCTTGGCCGAAAACGTGGCCAATCGTGACAAATCACAGGAGAAACGTAGTGGAGTCTTCATAAACGCAGTATGACTGCGGTATGGTCTTCATGATCGGAGAGCTCTACGCTCTCTCCACGCCTATTTTGAACATGCTCAAAACAAACGTAGCCGAATCGTGGCCGACAAAAATTGGGATAAAGTCGTAAAAAAGCGTAGTTGAAGCGCCTTAATCGTACAAGCAGCGCGGAAGCATCGTAGAGAGATCTTCGTGATCGTGGTAAAAGCGCTGTTAAAGTGTAGGAACGTATCACGCAGGCTCTTATTACGCTCTCACTACGTTTTGATTAGGTTCCCACTACTGTCTCTCTACGTTCCTGGTGAACCTACGAAGAACTACAAAGATCTTACGCCGATCATACCACGATCTTTCATGCAGCAGTTTGTTTTTATAGCGCTGATATATGACCAATCATCATCTGTCAACTACATGTAAAGGATGACATTAAACTTGACGATAATTTGCAGCTGAGACTTCGAGCTTTTCACATCTTGATACAGTTACAAATTAAAAATGTTGAAAGTTGAAAATGCCCGATAAACCACATGGCAAAAGCCGTTAAAAAATCTGCGGTCGCAAGATATATGCATCATTGCCCAAGTTGTACTAGAAAAATCTGCGGTTGCAAAATATACATACATCATCGCCAAAATCGTTCTAGAAGCGTAATACAATCGTAATATGATCGGCACTACCGTAGCGATATCATCGTATAGTCATCTGGTATGTGTAGCGTCGTAGTATAATCTTGAATGTCTTAGCAGCAGCGTAGCGTAAACGCAGTAAACACCGCCGCTGGTCGGCAACGGACTGCGTAACATCGTAGAAGAAGCGTGTTAGTAAAGCGTTTGACGTAGGTGCATCGTAGTATGGTCGTAATGAAGACCATATTTTGCCAAAGTGCTCAACTTAGACGCCGATCGGCACCGATCCGCCCCGATTCAATACTTTTTCAGATCATTGCTTGGTCGGGATGATCGTCGCAAAGTCGCAGCTCTGTGTAAACGGGGGGTTGATAAGTTCCCGACTGTACAACGCTTATACAGCGCTTTTACTACTTATATGATCGCAAAGATCTCTCAATGATGCTTCCGCGCTGACTGCACCATTACGACGCGTCTACTACGCTCATTTACGACGTTATCCGGATTCTTGTTGGCCACGATTCCGCTACGCTTGTTTTAAGCATGTTCAAAACTAGAGGTACTGTGAGCAATGAGCTCGCTAAATGATACCCTCGCCTCCCATATGAATATAATGGCAGTGTCTATGTTTTTCTGTGGGAAACCCAAAATATGTGTTGGATGAAAAAGTAAAATAGGAGGTGCACAATGACAATATGTAATGAAGATTCTGTGAAAGTTTTATCAAATTTCTTTCATTGGTATGAGAGAAGATGCGGATAAGAGATGGGTACCCCGAAGCGTAACAGTCGGACGGACGGACGGACGCACAGACGGACGGACAAACAGACAGACAGACAGACGGACGTACACTGTCCTACATATACATATCCTACATATACCCTCCCGCTTTTCAAGCTAGGGGTATAATAAGCGGTGCGAGAGCGTAGAGCTCATGAAGAACCTACCGCAATCATACTGCGCTTACAAAGACTCCGTTTCACCTGCGATTTATCACGATCGTCCATGTTTTTAGACACACTTTGATCGTAGTATGTTGAGCGGCATCTATGTGTGAACGGGGGCTTACACATGTTACACCAACAGTTTGTTTGCTAGATTTCCAAGACTAAAGAAGACGGTTTTATAAGATATAAATTGCATTTTCATATATATATGATCAATTTAGTCACACCTTACAGTAGTTACACCTTACAGTTTAAATCATGAACCTAGAGATTATGCATAATATCATTTTGGTATAAAAACCCATTGCTTACTACACTGTATATTAATACCAACAATTTTAATGCTTGATACCTAGAAAAAAAGACGATTAGGCATATTACTTTGATTGTTTTGGTCCCAGCTCTCAGCAGTCTCAGTACCCAGGAAAGCAAATACATTGAATCTCAAAATTTGTCTTTTAACTCGTAGATGCTAGTACATTTTCAGGCACGTAATATCGGAGAGGGGGGAGGGGAGTAGGAGGTCTGCCCCCCCTTTTTTTTTTTATTGAAAATGAACCTTGAATGGCTGCTGGTTGCCCCAAATTTTTTCAGCAGTACAGGGAAATATGGGTAAGGTATTGAAAAAAAGTTCCTCAACCTCCCCTCTCTCCCGGACGAGCGGAATACATACAGATGGAAGTGTAGGTTAATATTGCCTCTCAACAATTTAAATATTATCATTTGTCTTGTGGGCAAAGCTTTGATTCCTTTAATCATTCTGGTTGCCATTGTTCCTACCTATCTTCTGATTTTCTCACAAGGGCCTGAATCTTCCCGTCGTTCTTAATGAGATATTTCAACTGTAATGTATTATTATGAATATCCTGTTATATTATTTCCATAGAAAACGAACTGCTACTGTTACACCGATGTGGAGAAATACCGCAAGGTGGTCGAAGAGTGCATTTACGAGACTTTTCCAGAGTACCCTGGCGAACTATTTGGAGGACCAAATGACGGGAGTGTGGTGGTGTACCAATACAACAATCAGGAACCATCATTGAACTGTATGGCGCCCGTTCGAATAATAACTATCCAATTTATAAATTTTGATGTATCAATCAATCAATCAATCCTTGACAAACCTTACTGCTTCTGGTGTAGACGCAAAACCACCAACATTTAATATTACACGAAGATAATTATGATTATGTGCTTCCATTTGCAGCTAATGAATTTGGTAATTGCGCCGCTGTGAAATATTTAGGAACAATTCCGGTTCGTCATCAATTCACTTCCTGTCAGAACAGAATTGGGTTTATGTGTTCAAGTAAGTTAAACAACCATCTTTATGATTTTTTTTTGAAAAATAAAGATCAAAAGTGATTGCTTCTAGTATGCGAATGGACGTTTTATGAACAGCCCACAGTGTCGTTAATGAAACAAGTAATTGCAAGGTCTATCCGACCAAAATTGCATAAATATTGTATCTACATGTAGGAATGCACACTAACTATACTATAAGTGTAATATGGGATTTTGCCTTGATTATATGAACTATATGTAGATAACGAACAGCATTCGAGCTCAAAAGTTCAGAAAACAACACAAAATAGGAGCAGAGCATACACGGACCTCCAAAACATGGTGGGATCGAGTGAGCATTCCCTGCCGACCGGTCAAGCCCGCCGTGTGCTCCTTGTCATGATTGGGAAATATTGGAAAAATTCATCTTCAATTCAGTGTGTAAATAATGGATTAACAATTGGTTTGAAAAACATTAGTCAGCATTTGACTCAATGATAAATTGTATTTGCTGACAAGGTCATTGCATCGACCATTGAACTAACGAAATGATGACTTTAAACGAGACTGCCGACATTCTTGTTACATTAACTTGTTTGCCAGTAATTTACCTCGTTTTAGAAATAGTACATACGTAGAGCATGCTCCTGCTTATCGAGTCAACTTAAAGATAAAAACTCGTATGCAGCCGATGAAGGTATATAGTTGCATAAGTGAAAGAAGTTGACGATTGAAAAGTTAAAGTCATCACATTTATCAAAGTGCTTGGTTGTAGATTACCATTTAAGTCCTTTAAAGTAAATATCCAAATATGATACAGATGCGTGAGACTCCGTGGAATCTTTTATCTCAAGCTCACCGGGATATAGCATATGACATAAGAATGGAAATAACCATTGGTAATTCACTGTACGTTGTCGATATATCGAAATGTCGAGTTGAAGGCCACCGCAAGTGTTTTATTCTTTTATGTACATGTATATGATCTTTGACAAATTCTGCTTCATGTAAATATAAAAAATATGTCTGCTAATAACAGGGCGCAATTAATACGTATGGGAATTCCAATAGAATGTTGGAAGACCTGGTCTCCAAAACCTCATTGATATTATCAATCAGAACTCAACAATATTTTTGATGTCAACTTCAGAGTACTTTGTGTTTTCAATAAGAATATTTTTAACAAAACAATTTTGCAAATGACGAATAACAAGGTAAGCAAATTTACGAGTTCCATTTTTATTGAAAAAGCAGCTGTCAATGATATACAAAAGTACAGACTTTAATCTTTAATTTATCGTGGGGAACGGTTATGTATAATGTTGAAAAGTCGTCAGGGGTTAAGGTTAGGGTTAGATTTTAAGATTTTTAAAAGTTTTTAAGCTGTTTAATAAGTATGTAATTACAGATGGGCGAGTCTTTCCCGGAGAATTACCCTGGACAGAAGCTGTCAAACAGTGTGGTACATGTTCTTTAAAAACGGACATCATTGGCCATTATACTGGCTTGACAGATTCTCACAAGAACCACGAGTTTTGGACGGGCTTTTACAGACAAAGCTACGTATATTGGAGCCCTCCGGGTAAATATACATTATTTTCTCTTGGCCATCTTTGAGGCCTATGATTGCTATGTTATAATAAGAAGCTAGTACGAAAGTTCCACCAGTCCAGAATTCAGGCCGAAAGTAGGCTAAGACGATTTACATATAAAAAAAACTAGCTTTTAATTGAGTTTTTAGGTTCCTTGAGAGATTGAGGCAACCTTGGCTATGAAAAAAGGTGACGGTAACATATCAATCTATTTCCGTCCATTGCAGTACAGTGTGACGACCATTTAAAAAAAAAATTTCACGCTTTCCCTCGAGCTTCCATTCAATATGGCATAAATCACCCTTAAAAAGAGAAAAATTGTAAATTCATGATTTCTGACTCCCTGATGACTGATATTGAGGCTGAAACCCTCAAAATTAATGAAATAGTCAAAGTAAGAGGGTTGTTCGAAAAGTTCGCGGACTGGCGCCATACAATTAAAACCGCTTGAGATATATTAATGACTTTTTAACGTTTAATTAGGCATAATTTAGCATTATCTTTTTTATTTATATAATAAATTATGCATCATTAATTATCTTTTTAAATAAATTTTTAATGTTTTTTAAAGCAATGGTATGTCCAGGCGTCGCAACTTCGAAGATAACGTTTTTCTACCTGACTAGCTGAGAAAAAACTTTTTTCTTATATGGGCATTTGTCTTCCAAAAATGCCATTAATTCGATCACTCATACGGTATTACAATATTATACCGTAAAATTTGCAATTTTTGCCCCATTCTGTAAGTTTTATGAAATTTCTTAGCAAATTTTTTATGTAATGTCCAAGCAGTTTATGAGTTGTAATGACGTCAGAAAGGGGAGGGTGGGTGGATTTCTTTTTCTAACATGCTATAAAGTTTCACTCCTGGAAAAACTGGCATAGACCTAGGAAATATTTCAATGGGACATTGAAAAATAAAATGCATGTATAATACTTGTTTTCAAATACCCAAAAAGATTAGAGAGACGAAAAATATAAAAGTTAATGTCAATTTGTAGTAAGGGTGTTCAAAGTTTGTCACGTAGAAAAGAGATGTTGATCACGCGTGATAGATTTGGAACACCGACAAGCAAATACCGGTATGCTGTTATAATTAAGTTAGAATCTTTCACCATGTATAGATCTTATTACAATATCATATGCATTGAAATCAGCCATTCATGACATTTTAAAATTATATAAACAAGACGAGTCTGAATCTTTATTTAACCCTAAGGAATCTCATCAAGATAAGTGTATGAGGTGGAGAATGTGGGCATTGAGAAACAATGACGTCATGCAAGTAAATGGCGAGTGGGCCGGGTTTTTATTTTTATTTTATGATAATTTGGAAAACATTTAAGGGATGAAGCTAAAATTTTCAACATTTTTCTAGCTTTTGTTGTTTTATGTTCCTTTTATTAGTATTGATTTAGTTTTATTAGTATTAATTTTATCGCATCTGTCTTCGAACAACCCTCGTAGTCAAGTGGTAGGACGTTCTTGATCGGATGGTCTGAGTCAAAAATGATGCTAGTTCGCCGGGCAAAACTAAAAAAAAAAAAAAAAAAAAAAAAAAAAAAAAAAAGGGACTTTGTCACGGAAGTCATTGCAAAAAGTAAGAACCCTTACTGCTCAATGGTCCCAGGTACCGAGTATAGGTCTAAATTTGAAGCCCTTCACAGGTATACATGTATGTTCTCTTCAGGAGAGGAAATTCTCAATTATCACCTTCTTTTCTCAAGGATACCTAATAGACATAATTTTTGCATTCTTGAAATTACAGTCAATGCCATGGGATTCTCTTTATTTATTCTTGTATGCCTAACAAACTACCAGCATTTAATGCACGGTTTGAGATATCTAGCTACCCTTTTCGAAATGTTTATGCCCAGAACATTAGGGAATGAAGTTTGTCCCGCCCAGCACGTGATTTTTTTTTACCACGTAGATTTATGTAAAATAAAGTATTTTTTCTATTTATAGTTTTATCCAAGACAAAGAATTTCAAAAATGCAAATATTCATATCCCATTGATTCTTAACCAATTTGTTGCCAAACTGAGTTGAGCGTTTTAATTTCAGGATATGGACTGAGATGGCCATGTGTAGCTATATGCAAAGAAAAAATCATACTCTTTAGTTGATCTGAAAGGACAATTACTTCTGTCTTTTCAGAGATTTAGGACCATAAAAGTATTCTTTATTTCTAGTGTATTTTGAATATTATGGTCTTTTTTTCCGACTTTTTTTATTAGGTGGCTTGGAGAGCGGTAGAAAAAACTCAAATCTCCATCATTGCATAGCAGTTAAAGTGAACGAAGATGGAACACTCTACCCCGTCACTTACCCACAAGATTGCTCAGAGTCATTACCTTCCATTTGTGAAAAGTCAACAAAACGTATGTTTCAAATTAGATGACGACTTTTCCTATTCAAACATCGTCATGTGTTTCTTATTTAAGATGAATAATCTCTGACCAGATTTCAATGCTATCTTGATTGTCGTCTTTTGATAGTATACCTATCAAATCATATTATTGTACGTCAAAGTTATACTGGGCCTTCAAAAAAAATCGGATGTTATTTCGAATCGCCCTGTCACCTCAATGAGAAAATAAAGCGCAATGACGTTTTTCTACGTCACACTATAGGTGGAACTTTTCATTTAACGCAAACATAGAAGCCAGCGCAAGATCATCCTTGCAAGCTACATGTAGAGGCTGAATCAACATGTTGCCATTGGACCATTGACACATTTCATTCCACATCAATGGGTTTGCTTCTCTCATCGAGAAGCGCCAAACGAATTAAAGCTTTCATATACAGTTAGATAGGGAATCAATATGACAGAATGGCTAGATGGGATTGTTTGAGAGATAAAACGATAAGTAAAACGATCAAGATTTGTCTGCAATTAAGACATCAATACACTCTGCCCAGGAATATTGAATGGAATACGTCACCGGTCCAACGACAACGTGTCGACTCAGGACCCCAGGCTTGCGAGGATGGCGCAAGATATATATGAACATGCAACATGAAGGTTTTGACTGTGTTCTCGGGCAACAATTGTTTGGAAAATGAATGTTGATGCCATCAAATCTTATAAAAATCACCTTTTCAAACTTGAAGATACTGTAAACCAATTTTTATTCGCGACGACTTTATTTCGCGATTTTCCGGGGTTAAACTAGTTGGCGACGATTAATGAGAGTTGTATCTGATTTTGGTGACAGTGTCACATATGATCTTTTACACAACGTTATTTAGAGCATTCCCTTTTCTAAGTTAATAAATAAACAGCTCATGTTTACATGTAGGTGATGGTGGTTGGTCGGACTGGTCTGACTGGAGCGAGTGCTATTTCGTGAATGGTATGGACAAAAAATCTAAGACTCGCACATGTACCAATCCTTCTCCACGACATGGCGGAAAATACTGCGAGGGGGATGATAAAATAGAGCGACCTTGCCTTGAACCTCAATTTGTTGGAGGTAAGTCGTACAATTACTTATCCCACTGAAACACAAATATGTGCAATTTTGTTTTTACCAAAATTTCAATGGAGCGTTTAGATAAAAGGCGTCTAGTTCGCTGCAATCAACAGTTTATCGTGTAGATTTAGGCTTTTTGACCAAATGCATTTCCTTTTTATATGTTAGGCATTGGACAAACAACGTACCGAGTATCAACAACACTTTCTCTAAGAACACACGAGGACAAATTTAATCTATAACATTAATCATTGTATAACATTGGAACATATCAGAAAATATAAAGAAAATCTTCTCTCCAAGAACAGCAGGAGTGTGATTATTCATTAATTTGAATTCCCCCAACAGAGTACACTTGGATAACAGGAGAGAGGGTCAAATTTATACACAATATGTATGATGAAATTTTTGAAAATCTTCTCATGAACAACAGAATCTGATAAGACATTCTTCCTGTTAATTGAAAATCGGCAATCTACCATTATACTAGCAATTGTCAGGCAGTACAGATTCAACTTTGTTCAAATAATGACTCCTAGGGTAAAAAGTGGGACCACAATTTAGGGACAACACAACACATTTTTGATAGGAATTAAAAATCTTTTTTGAAAGAATAGCAGAGTCAAAGTGACACAGATGAGCGTTGTGGCCTATATAAACACTTGTTCAGCCTGTGCTTTATATCTAGATCTTGGAGTTCATGTTTTTATTTTACCAGTGAATTAAACTTGATATAAGCACACATTATTTCTCAAAAACAGGTATTAAAGAAAAAACCGTTCCAAGCAAAGAGAATGGAAGTAAACAAAGGAAATAGAAGATAAAACGGTTATCAGTTAAAAATATGGAGCCATTGAAGACAAAATGACTTATTTGAAAGCTTCAAAGGATTCTATACAAACCATATATGTACAGAAGGCAGGGTGGAGAAAAGACTTTATTTTTGAGCAAGCCTTCTTACTGCATTAATCTTTGAGGGCAAATGATGCAAACAAACTTATTTTACTTAACACAACAACTTTAGTCAGGTGTAGATAAGTAAAATGAATATGTTAACCATATAGGTTTTTTCATCGAATTTTTCCCAACATGTCCCATAAAATTGATAAAAATTAAAAAGATTTATTAAGGTTATTATAGTATTGCAGAGAGGTAAACTTTTGAACATCATAAAAAGTTAACAATTTCTTGATATTTTAGAAATTTGATACTTTACTCATTTACAAACAAAATAGGTCCAAAAAATGGTAACCATTTTTGTTTATTTCAACTGTCTTTAAGCAATGTCTTGAATAATCCTTACAATAAAAATGTTTGTATTCATTGAAGAAAATCCAAATAGGCCATTGTTTTTTCCCCTGCGAATTCTAAACAAATTTCAGTCCAATGGTTTGAAATAATAAATCAAAAATCTTAAATGACTTTGTAAATGATTGAAAAAGATTCCCTTTTTTATTTTTTTCTTTGAAAATATCAAATAGTTATTCCTAAACATTTTGTGTTTCTTTGAGATTTGAAGCCATATATGAAATATACTGAACATTTTTAAAACCAAATTATTTTTGCTGCAATTAATAAAGATGATATAGGAATATGTTAAGAATTTCTTATAGTTAGTGTTAATGATTTGTCTAGCTAGCATCCTTTATAGGAAAAATTGTGGTCATATAATGTATACATAAAGTCAAGTATTGTTTTTGTATGTATCGTGCAAATGATTCTTATGTATTTGATATTGTTTACTCTTGCAGTTATTGATTAGATACGGAATAGCATACTCTGATTATATATTTTTTAAAGGAAATTATTTGTTCAAGCATTTTCTTCAGTAATATCAGCAAGAAGGATTTGACATAATAACATCCAATATCAGTATTTAAATGTTATTAATACGAATTCATATACAAAATAGAAAAGTTGACGCTAACAAAAAGTGCTCAATCCTATAGATAAAAGAAGTCAAGAATGGGGCTAAATCTTGAATTTCGAAACTCGAATTTCGAATCTCGTATTTTGAAACTCGAATCTCGAATGAGCTTTCTGGGCTTTCTTAGCTAAAACACGGAGCCATGAAACATCAAAGGTAGAATTGGACTTTTGAGAATAGCGCTGACTTTTACAGTCGACAGCTGAATTTTACACCGGAACAATATACAGAGGCTCTTTTGCAATGAAAATATTTAGTTTAGCATTTGAATAAAACAAAAATAGCGACTTGAATAAAGCACATATACATGTAAGTTGAATAATCCATGAGCCCTATCCCCAAATACCGCCTTTCATATGTTAGTTCCCCTATTACAATACCTATGACCAATGGGAAGGTTTTCTTACCTATTGAGAAAGTCAGTGGTATTCGCAAAAGTCCATAAAGTGCCTAGGAGGGTTTAATTGATTATTTAGCATCTTCGGTCTGTCGACCAGACACACCTGTCTCAAACCCTCAATATCGATCAGGTAAACAACATGCTAAGTCAGGTAAAAGAAACATTAACTCAGGTAAATTAAATACTAAGACAGGTAAACTTAATACTAACTCAGGTAAACTAAATACTAAGTCAGGGTAAATGACATACTAACTCAGGTGAACGTCACACTAACTCAGGTAAACTAAATACTAAGTCAGGTAAACTACATTGTAAATACTAAGCCAGGTAAACGACACACTTAGTCAGGTAAAAGACACAATAAGACAGGTAAACTAAATTTTATGTCTGGTAAACAGCATACTCAATCTAAGTCAAGAAAACGAAATACTAAGTCAGGTAAACTAAAAACTAAATTTTATGTCTGGTAAACAGCATACTCAATCTAAGTCAAGAAAACGAAATACTAAGTCAGGTAAACTAAAAACTAAGTCGCGTAAACTAAATACTTAGACAAATAAACTAAATACTAAGTCAGGTAAACGACACATTAAGTCAGTTCAACAACATACTAAGTCAGGTAAAGACATACGTACTTACTCAGGTAAACGACATTCTAGCTCAAGAAAACTACATACTAAAACAAATACTTAAACTAAGACTTAGTCGGGCGACCTACTAATTCAGGTAAACTACATACTAATTCATATAAACGCCATACTTAGTCAGATAAACGACATACCCGACTAAGTCTTTGATCCATACTCGGCATTCAGAGCCATTGAGCAGTGAGGGATCTTTTTCGTGCCAGTACCAACTGCGACACGGGACCTCTGTTTTTATACGGTCTCATCCGAAGGACCGGTCTCTACGTTCCCACAGTGTGATTCGAACCCGCGACGTGAGGATCAACTCCCTACTCCGCCACTCTACAGTAGAAGATCTTTCCACTGCGCCAGGCAGGCAACAACAGAATGATTTTAAACGAAAAAAAAAGTTGAAATCCCTATAACTTCATCGTCGGTAACCCACGGGTGATTCACTTCGATTCTCTCTATCGAGGAAGCTTGCAGACTCAAAACCCGTGGTTTGCGACGATGATATAACTTCAACTTATCTGAACTGGGTTTAAAAATTGCTTGTAATCGGAACAAGCTTTGGAATACCGGATAATATGAAGACGTAAAGACCTTATGTAGAATATAGCGGGATATTACTGAAATAGTTGATTATAAAAAGATAAAATCAGTTGTTGATTGGTTTTTATTTGTGGTTGTAAATTGGCCTTTATTGACATTTGTAGTGTATTTTCAATGACATGCAGTTGGTCACATGATCAAACTTTCTTGCGTATGGAAAGTAAACTGCACTTTGGAAAGTTTAAACTGTGAAATCAAATAACGTCGTAGATACGTTACGTTGCATTTTAAAATCAAAGTCTAAATAATGCCTATATTTCTTTGTAACATGAATAAAAACGTAAAATATAAATATAAGAAATAAAATATCATTTTTTAAAAGTTTCATTTGGGTATGACATGAAGTCGGTACGTGAGCAAATCTACTATAACGCCCTTCGGGTGTTATAGAATTTGATCACGTGACCGTCTTCATGCCATACCCAAATTCACAAAGAAAATATACATCATAAAATCAATGTGAATGAACTTGTTCTTTTAGTTTATATATATTTGTCACAAACTCATTTTTAAATTTCATTGCATCCTAGCTAGCTCCATTTCAAAAGTTACAAAATCATTAAGCGTAATTTGGAGGATTTACTTGAAAACAAAAAAATCTTTATTACTTAGTTTGTCAATGTTTTCTAAATACAATTTTATTAAGCAAAGGAAAAAAAAATAATCACCATAATTATTTGCTTTAACAATACAAGCTGGATCAGATATCATTAGACATGATAGATCACATACTCAGTAACACTAGAGTTTTAATTTACCTACAGTAAAGGTTTAAGAAAAAAATGGACTCTATGAAAAAATGTGTACTGTACACATTTCAAATTAGAATCTTACAGACTCATTATTATTGTCCCCCGCTTTCGCGAAAGCGAGGGGACATTAAATCTCATTCGTCTGTCCGTCCGTCCGTCTGTCTGTCCGTCTGTCCGTCAGTCTGTCCTTCCGTCACAAAAACTTTAACCTTGCCCATAACTTTTGATTTAGTGGAGCTATGACTTTCATATTTCATATGTATATTTCTTGTGACAAGACCTTTCTTTGGGTACCACCAAATTTGACCTTTTGACCTTGACCTTGGAGTTTGACCCACTTTTACACAAAAATTCCAAATTTTTACTTTAGCCATAACTTTTGAATGGTAAGTACTAGGACTTTCATATTTCACATATGTATACTTTGTAGCAAGACCTTTTATTGGATACCAACAATTTTGACCTTTTGACCTTGACCTTGGAGATTTCCGTACTTATCAGAAAACTTTAACCTTGACCAATACTTTTGAATGGTAAGGGCTAGGGCTTTCATACTTCATATATATAATTCTTGTGAGAAGACCTTTCATTGAATACCAAGAACTTTGTCCCTTGGACCTTGACCTTGGAGTTTGACCTACTTTTCAAAAACGTTTACCTTGGCTACAACTTTTGAACGGTAGATACCAGGACTTTCATATTTCACATATGTATTCCTTGTGGCAAGACCTTTCATTTGATACCAACAACCTTGACCTTTTGACGTTGACCTTGGAGATTTTTTGTACTTATCAAAAAACTTTAACCTTGACCATAACTTTTGAATGGTAAGGGCTAGGGCTTTCATATTTCACATATGTATACTTTGTAACAAGGCCTTTTATTGGATACCAACAACATTGACCTTTTGACCTTGACCTTGGAGATTTCCGAACTTATCAAAAAACTTCAACCTTGATCATAACTTTTGAATGGTAAGGGCTAGGGCTTTCATATTTCATATATATAATTCTTGTGAGAAGACCTTTCTTTGAATACCAAAAACGTTGCCCCTTAGACCTGGACCTTGGAGTTTGACCTACTTTTCTAAAACTTTGACCTTGGTCACAACATTTGAACAGTAGATACCAGGACTTTCATATTTCACATATGTATTCCTTGTGGCAAGACCTTTCATTTGATACCAACAACCTTGACTTTTTGACCTTGACCTTGGAGATTTTTTGTACTTATGAGAAAACTTTAACCTTGACCATAACTTTTGAATGGTAAGGGCTAGGGCTTTTATACTTCACATATGTAATTCTTTTGAGAAAACTTTTCATTGGATACCAAAAACTTTAACAATTTTGACCCCTTGACCTTGGAGTTCAGTGATAATATTCTAAGTAGATGACATATGATAGGGCGTTCATATTAGACACAAAATGTCATCAAAAAATGACATCTCACCCAAAAAGACACCGAAAGCGGGGGACCACAATTCTTCGAATTTGCTTGTTTCAGTTACAACTTTGAATGCAAAAATACAATAAAGTAAAAAGTTTGCAATCAAAATAATAACGTAAATCTAATCCTTTTATGGTAAGGAAACACATAATCAGATATATAAGTAACATACCATA